AGGACCCCACAATGTTTTTGAGGCGAGTCGACGCGATGATATGCAACGACAAACGCCCAACACCAAGCAGAGCTTGAGATTTGCAGCAGTCACCTCCTGTAAGACACATGCGACGGTTCATGAAGAGTGGCGGATTTGCCGCGGCGGGTAGCATTTTGACCTGAGCAGCTTGCGCCTGAGGTTACTCCATTGCAAACAAGAGATGATGAAATGGTACGATGATGAAGATTGCGAGACTCGCGGGAAGTGTCGACTTGACTGAGATGACGAAAAGAGATAGAACCTGGAGAGAATCGAGGGAGTCCAAAGAGATTACGAAAGATGGACTTAGTCGACAAAGAAATTGTTGTATACTTCCCGTTGACGCTACCGGCCACGAGAGCATGGGCGATGACTTGGGCTCTCTGATAGACTTGGAGCAGCCAGTAGCGTCGGATGTCCGTTACCCGGGACTAGGGTTGTTGAATACTTGACGGTATGACCGCAGACGTTGGCGGTTGATGAAAGGTACGAAGCCGTCAGTGGTATTCGCGTTCGGGGGTCTTCTAGATTCCGTCTTTCCAAGCTGTGAGGATACACGCTCCCATCAGTACCCAGCGCCAACTCCGGACTCGGCTACTCACGCGGGCGCTATACATTCTTACGACGCCGTTGCTTTTGCTTACCGAAATCATTGCCTCACGGTACTCATCTGATAAGAACACATGTCCAGACAGCACGGAGATCGGGAACCTGAACCACACCGGATTGGTGGTCGATAACTTGGTATGACCGCTGTTGTTGCCCAAATACATTGGTTGGCATCGAACATTCGCTGATATTGTTCGATGTTTTGCTTTGACGGCCGCAATGCCGTTACTCTTCGCGCTTCCATAACGCACGCTCTGTCAGGAATTGCAGCTCTGAGTTCCCACAATCGCAACTGGGCTGCCCGGCACACCCAGATTTCGGGTTTCCTGAAGTCAAACAAGACATGATGCTTCTTCAGTGCCTAGGAGGATGTTGCTTTGATTCGAAGACCATGAAAAGACTGGTCGGATCGAGTGCCCTATTCCCACACTGCCAGAGATGGGACTCGCATACTTCTTTCCCAGCGCCAACTTTGGGGTAGGCACGCAAGCAGTATACATTCTTACGCTTCTTGCGCTTCGCTTACCGAAATCTTTGCCTTGTGGTACTTCGCGAAGAAACGGAGGTCCATCTTCAGACGATGAGTGAACCGGGACACAACTCCGACGTCCTGGCCGCACCCCGCTGTGGGTGGCCGCACGCTTGGCAAGAACGATGTCGATCGTGGTCTGGATCCCAGACGATAATGAGGAAGAGTCGGAATTTGTCGAGAAGAAAGTACAGTAGATGTTCGTCCCGTTCGATGGCGGTTGGGTCTCATTCGAATTAGTGGATGCCTCTGAAGCCGGTCGGACCGCTGCCTGCAACATGTTGTACGCAGTCCTCCCATGTATCGTCCGCTTCTCTACGGTCCTCGCGACCAATGGCGCGGATCGGCAACTCCGACGCTGCATGTCTAGCAGCAACCGGGACTTCGAGTGATAAGCCTGACGACCTTGTATTATCGGAGAGGTCCCTCGATGTTCTACACTTCTTTGTTCGACCGCGATACCTCGAACGGTGTTACAACATGCTACCCCGGGCCTGGAGGATATCGCTTTGCCATTCCGGTGCCGCGTTGCGATGGTTCTCTATCATTGCCGATGTATGTCTTGCAGGAAGCAAAGGGCAAATAGGCTACTCGGCAGCGTGCTAGAGTTTTCGGTATGGTGGTCCCAGAGACCATCTAGCTTGACAAGTTGTCAAAGCCCTTGGTATACCCTGGTGTACCCTGCAACGCATCTGCCTTTCAGATTGACTTGTCCGTTGTCCAGCGTGGATCTCGGTTCTTCCCTGCTGCAACCTGCATGCCATTCGCCCTAGTGTGTTGGAGGCCATGGCGATACAATTGCTCGCGCTTGATGTGCATCGAAATCGGTCGTGGTGCGATGTTTGGTGGGCGCCGCGCGGGTCACCTGTAGTACGACTCGAAGGTGTGCAGCAGTCGATACTGCGTATGGCGGGACGTTGTCATCTTCGCTCGATCGTGAGGGGATACGTGTCGATCGTACTATGGCGGGCTCAGAAGGGTGGCTACCGCCGCGGTCGCCTCTTCACTGCGGTGAAGCTACGCAACAAGAAGTTAGCCATGTTAGTGCAAGGGATGTCTTGGACGAACAGCTTATTCGAGGGAGTGGTTTGTCGCTACAGCCGGGAGCTTGACGCCATCGCTGGCGATTTGGCATCTGTTGGAGCAGCCTCGACAAACAATACGGCATTCCGTCGAAGCTGGCACAGCATGAATGTCAGTAAAGAGGTTTGCCACAGCTTGCTAGGAGTCTGGAGACTCGAGCTACATACCTGGGTAGGGTTAGGCCTTCGCTGTGAGCGGGATGGGGCTCACGGCAGTCGCGAAGGCCAAACCAACTACGCCTGGTGATGTTGGCACACCACACCAGGTGATGCAATTCTTGCAAATTGCTCGATGGGCATACCCTGGCTATGCGAGAGGCTCTGCAGCAGCCCGAAATCTCTTTTGAATCGCAGCGTACTCGATTTTGGCGGATGACTGGTCAAATGCTATTGGCTACCCGCCTACCGCCCACGATTGTGTCGCGAGGAAGCTCTACCGCACCTCCAGAAGCTATTGCCGTGGATATTATATGCCTCTGCTTACTGGAGGAGGTGCCTCGAGTCTGCGACGGCCTTTGTGTCGGTTTGAGGCAAAGGGAGGGTAACGGCGGGCTCGAGGCACGCTCCTACACCATTGTAGTCGAGGGAGGTTGTCAAAAGAGCTCGGGGTGGATGAGAAGAACATGCTCTACAAGATACAAGCAAGAAGAAGCCCGTCGGCAGTATACCGGAGGCGGCGACGGTGGTGGCCGGTGGAAGGAGGCGGGGCACCAACTATCGTGAGATTGTTTGGTGTTGTTGCTTTCCGCCGCTCGAGTCCTTCACCAGCCTACCCTCGTCCCTCCGCCGCACCACAGTCAGCGCTCCTATCGTCTTCGGACCACTCTTGAACTGTTCAGAGCCTCGATAATAGTGCCTGCATAATCTTCTCCGGTCGACTTTGGATAGAGAATGGTGGCGCCGTGGGTTCCGAAGCAGCTGAAAGCAATTGCGTAGCCGCCCCCTCACCCGCCCGGCAACCCCTCCCTATCCACGACGTCGCAGCTGGTTTGGCTACGATCTTCGGACTACTGGCAAAAGCTTCAGCGTGTCGACAATACCCTCTACAACATCGATTCTGGCTATCTATGCTGCATATATGCTGCCGCCGATGGCTCCGTAGCCTCCTCAAGAGCTGGTCTTGGCGCTAGCTCGCCGACTATGAGCGCTGTGCAGGGACGACAGTAGTACCGGTAGCCTCTTCACCGAGCTCTTCACGGCAGGGCGCGCGCTGCTACGACGACGCTCATCGCGAACGCGCGAAAGTCCTCATCCCCCGCTCGAGATCCCTGCATCGTTCTCCGCATTCTCCGCACCCTATGCCCGATACCGTACGCCATCCGCCAACCCCAGCCCCACCGGGTGCGCCCGTGGCGTCGCGTCCTCCTCACGCCCTACACACCTTCGGTGTGCTATCGATGCAACAAAGGCGCCCACGAGTAGCTTAGGAGCGATTTCTCCTTCATTGTGACGCAGCGGCTTCGGCGGGCGTGCATCCAGAGCTGCCACTTCTGGGCTTGCAAGGTGGGGGCAACAGCAAGCGAATTGGGATGCATAGAGCGAGCAGCATGAGCATACAGCAATACCTTTCCTGACGAAAAAAGGCACTCGGTGCTTGAGCAGCAAGGAGCCTCATCAAGGGCAATGCGTTATCCCAAAGCTACAGTCTCACAATCGTGGCAACGGGGAGGTCGTTCGGAAGCGCACAAACAGCATAGCAAACGTTAGGACGAGGGACGGTAATGCGCACATCGCGAGCTACGTTTGGGCACCATACGCGGCAGAGGACATCTCACATGTATGTGCACCGTCGATCGCGTCTGGTCTTCACCTCGAAGCAGACCTACTCGCGGAACGTCCTTGATTGCATGATACACGGGCGGGATGGCATCAATTTCCACGGCATGATCCCGCGCGGCGGGCCTGCTAGGGAGATATTGAGGGGCAAGCACACGACTACACCTTCGCGAAGGCGACGTATTCAGAGTAGTCTAAGCCTGGAAGCATCGGATACGAGACACGGATGGTCAACAAATCGAACATCTTCTACAAAGCGCGTTACAGACCGCAAAGGCGAAGAAGGAATCGTATTGCACAATCCAATCCGGAAGTAAAGGAGAAGCCGCGGATGTTTCTTGAGTACTCCTACCTTGAGCTTCGTGACTTCTAACTAATGAATGGCAAAAAATGGCTAATGATACAGTCTGCTTGATGTGCGCAGCAGAGAATCGCTTCGTCTATAACGAAGTGCGCCTATGCCCATCTATGATGATGTGCTCTACAACAATTTTGTGCCACAAGCCGTTCCTGCATATCTTGACTTAGTCAAACTTGGCCATGGACCCGGTTTGAAGATGGTCATGCGAGCAGCTCATCCCGGCTAGGTAGACGACTGCATGGCACCGCGCCGACTAGCTCCGGCATGCGCACGCCTATGGTCATCGTTTGAATAACCTTCACAAGGTATCGGGCATCGGGAGAATGTCCTAATCAACATGTGACATCAATATGGAAGATGGGTATAGCGGCTTCCCACAAATCGCTCGTTTACGCTTCCCCGGATCGACCATTCAGCGTGGCACGATCCCTGCTCCGGCAATATACCGACTCCACACCAAAGCGCGCGACAATACCAACCGAGTCAGTGCACCGCTCGTAGCCCAGGTTTATAAAGTCCCAATTCAGAGTTCCTCCGTTGGGCTGGAGCTATGGCAACCTATATCTAGCAACATGCGCAGCTTCACAACAAGACGGGTGTAACGCAGAACTTCGACTTCAAGATGCGTTGCTTCAGACATATCGCCACTGCTGGCGCGCTGTTTGCCTCAATAGCGAATGCGACGCTTCAAATTATTCCAGGCGCGACATGGACTGCCACGAATACTGGCAAGCACATTCAAGCCCACGGCGGTGGCATGATTAAAGTCGGGAGTACATACTATTGGTGAGCGCAGCTATATTTCTCTGATATGACGATGTTTACATTGCTAGGGTCGGCGAAGATAAGACAGACGGTTCAGCCTTCCAAAATGTCAACTGCTACAGCAGTACCAACCTGGTAGAATGGAAATACGAAGGCGCGCTCTTGTCACGAACTTCATCTGGTGACCTTGGACCGAGTCGCGTTGTCGAAAGGCCAAAGGTTATCTACAACAAGTCGACGAAGAAATACGTGCTGTGGATGCACATCGATTCGAGCAACTATGGTGAGGCCAAAGCTGGCGTCGCGACCGGCGATACTGTCTGCGGTAAATACACGTATATCGGTGCTTCGCAGCCACTGGGCTTCCAGAGTCGTGACATGGGTCTCTTCGTGGACGATGATGACAAGGCGTATCTTTTGACCGAGGATGTAAGTTTGACCAATTCTCTTCGTCTAGCACATTTTCTAACAACCACATACAGCGCGCTAACGGTCTCCGTATCGACCTCCTCTCCGACGACTACCTAAGCGTGAAGTCCGCGACGTACCTCTGGAAAGACTCCATCGAAGCCCCTGCTGTCATCAAGAAGGATGGCGTCTACTTCATGTTCGGATCCACACTCACCGGCTGGGACCCTAACGACAACAAGTACAGCACTGCGACCAACATTGCCGGCCCATGGTCGGCATGGAAGACTTTCGCCGATTCGGGTTCGAAGACCTATTCGTCGCAGACGAACTACATCCTACCCGTTGGAAACAATTTCATGTACATGGGAGATCGATGGGTTAGCTCGAATCTAATGAGAAGTACCTATGTATGGCTGCCGTTGACCATTTCGGGCACGACTGCGAGTATGAAGAATGCGGTTAATTGGGTTGTTGATGCTAGCTCTGGGTCTATGACCTCTGGGCCTAGCGAGAACACGTACGAAGGAGAATCTGCCACATTGGCTGGTGGAGCTAAGTCGGTGTCCTGCTCGGGATGCTCAGGTACGAACGCTGCAGGCTGTGAGTGCTGTCTCGATCCCTGCAAAGTTTCACCGTGACTGACAATGCACAGATATCGGCGGCTCCAGCGCCGGCGCAGTCACCTTTTCGAATGTACAAAGCTCAGCTACGACACGCACGTCGATCCGTGTCAAGTACTGTAAGTCAGCCATGCTCTCCAAGAAAGGAGTATGAGCTAGCGTAAGCTAACGTTTTGCTAGTGAACGGTGATAGCAGCCAAAGATTTGCCGATGTGAGTGTCAATGGCGGGGCTACACAGCGCATTGCTTTTATACCTGCCAGTGGTGATCCCAATTCGAGTGTTCTGAATGCGGGCCTGAAGTCTGGTACGAACACGATCAAGATCAGCACGAGTGACGGAACTTGGGGTCCGGATATCGATCGGTTGATGGTTCCGCAATCTTGATAGCATACACGTGGAATGGTATCTTGTCGGGCATTGTAACGTAAATTACGGTACGATCCGTCCTTGGCCTCGAATCTCGGCGCGTGCATCTTGTTCTATGGTTCAATTATGCTCAAAAGTGTGGAAGGTGGGATTGGCGATGAAGAATATGACTACACCCTCTATGCTAACAAGCCCCTTTCGCATTCCATGATTCCATCCCAGGCAACACCGCTCAGCAACCCACGAACGTCCACGAGCTGCTTAATAGCACTTGATAAAAATGTCGAGAGCGAAACGGCTACGAACGCTCAGTGCCGCTGTGACGAATAGGGCGACTTCGCGCTAGCCCCAAGCACATCTAGCGCGGTCCGCTGCCGTCTCTATGAACCCTCAGCGGCAGCCCGCGAGAGACCTCACAACACAAAACTCTTTTGCCGCATGCTATCTACACTCTGCAACTGCAATCTAGCATAAGGGTGCCCTCGCGCTCTGCTCATGATGGCGTCCTTTCTATCGCTTCCCGGCGAAATTCGCAACCAAATCTACGATCTAGCGCTGTTCCCGCGTCACCAGAGCGTCTCGATCAGTGTCAGCCGCCCAAAGGACCTGCTTCGCACCACCTTCAAATCTCCCATCTTCCGCCTATGCCGCACCTCACGCTACGAGGCTTTTGCGCGTTTCTGCAACATGAAGACTCTCACTTTCATGAACCTCAAGTCTTACGAGGTACGTTGTATATCATAGGCATTCTAGACTTGATTCTTTATGGTCTTCAAAGTCCCCTTTTATCAATGCCACTGAACATATGCAGGTCTTCGTAGAGTACGCCCGCACGATCGGAGACGGAGAAATCGCGGAGAGGAACCTCAAGTTCATTGCCCTCATGGTAAAAGATCTGCACATGGTAGAAGTTGATGAAGGAGTTGGACGAATCGGAGAAGTTGCGCAAAAGCTGCACTTCCTCGAAGCTGATGAAGTCTTCGCGGAATTGGGCGCGCTACAGATCGTCACCCTTTTCGTCCAATACCAGCAGCAGACAATGCTTTATGGTAACGTTGCGTGGGCCAAACTGACGCGCGACGACACGGTGGTTGGTGTCCGGTTCTCAGAGGTATCTGCTTACACTGGATTGCGTCGAGTAGCTACCTTTAGGGGGAATAAGGCTTCCTGATCATAGCCGTATTCGCCTCCAGACCTGACAGGTTAGGGTCATATTTGGACAGATCGAAAGTCTCTACATGCACCGGTTCAAACCCAAGAGTCATATACAGTTTCTTCCCCGCGTCTGATGCTTCCAAGAAGGCTGGCAGCTGTGCCTTGTCCGCCCCCTCTAATCCCCATTTCACCAGCATTCCACCTGCGCCACGTCTTTGGTGGGGAGGGTCAACTACTAGAACATGGAGGACTTGGGCAGATTAGCAAACACATTGGGAGATAGATTCACGCACACTCACAATAAAATGGTTTCGTCCCCATGAATTGCTTTCTCACTCGGTGCAGGTAGTTCATGAAGTCCTGGGCCGCGGGTCTGTCCTTCTCCTCTTCTCCGGGAACAGGTAGCATCGATTGGATCTGCTCTTCAGTACGCTCCTTTTCATTCATTCTCCACTTGGCGCATGCAATCATCTTGTCGTTCAGCTCCGTATCAACCACCTTCAAGTAACGCACGTCCGACTCGTTCGTTACACTCTTGATATGCTTTTGGATTGATTTCTCCCTGTTCTCAGGCGTCTGCTCTGCCTTTAGTAGCTTGGTAATCCCTTCGCTGGTTAGCAGAATCGCTGCTGTAGTAGAAATAATTACCGGTGTTGAACGCGGCTGTCTGTATGCGGACAAAGTCGGCGAAGTCATCGTTGGTACAGGGGCGGACTTCCAGCATTTTGACGTTCGCAAAGGTGCGCGTACTTCAAGAAACAGGTCTGATTGTTTTCTTGAGATCTCTCGTTGGGTATTATATGGTTGCAAGGTTGCACGGTGGGGTTGCAAGATCGGATAGACTGACCTCGGCGTTCGCTATTCCGAACTCAGTAGCTGATGCTTACACATGGCTTCTCATGAGTCATGTGCGCCCTTCCGCATCTTTGCGTCCTACTCGACATCGAAACGACGCCCTTTTGTTACTAGGTTACGTGCCTACAACTTATCTTGGACGTGCAGCAATGCTTTCTCTTGTACTATTTTCAGTTGCACCTCGAGAAACCGAAGCGTTGCATCCGTACGCCGCAGGCTGTGAAGTCCGTCTAATTGAGGCAGCTGAATCAGGATAAACATTCGCCCAAGTCAATCCATAACGGCGGTGCAGTCACATTGCTCTTTATCATGGCTGATTGACTTCGTCCTTACTTTCTACATGTCTTATTCGAAATTCGGTCTATATTTGTCTCGTGGATAGTTTTAACGCTACAATCCGATACCCCAGCTCGAAACAATATGCGTTTCTCTCGACGTGACATTTACACAAGGTACCCCCGATTGAGCACGAAACAGAGATGATCGCCATAGTATAAGACACTTCAGCCGCGGTTAACGTTATTATCATCTCGCAATTACGACTCGTGGGTGCCTCAGGCCAGCATCTCACTCCTCCAAGCCCTTGGCAGGCCTTCAAATGTATGGGCAATCCCAGTCTAACTTGGCTTTCAGCCAACTTGAGAACTTATGGTAGATACCAGAGCATCGCGACTAACAAATGTGTAGATGAAATCGTGGCTGTTCGCAGCTGTGCTGCCGTTGAACGCGCTGGCCGCGATGCCCCCAACTTCCCGCCTGCCACTTGGAAATATCTCTCAGGACCAGCTCAACTCGTTTGCTCACCTATCGCAAACCTCTGCCTCATTCGATCCAAATCAGCGACCTCTCGCGTTTACACGCTCCGCCGCTCTGGGTGCCAGTACACAGAACGACGTCGTGAACGCAGTATGCAAGAACTACACTTTACTATTCGCGCGAGGAACTACAGAACAAGGCAACATGGGAACACTCGTTGGACCGCCATTGGCGCAGGCTCTTGGTAAGGCTGTCGGTGCAGACAACCTTGCCGTTCAAGGTGTGGACTATGCCGCCAGCGTTGAAGGATTCCTTGCTGGCGGAGATGTGGACGGGACTAAGACGATGGCAGGCTTAGTCGCAATGGCCAAAAGTAACTGCGAGAACACTTCGCTCATTCTTAGTGGCTACTCCCAGGGCGCTCAGCTCGTTCACAAAGCTGCAGACATGTTGACCGCCAACGAAACTTCATTCGTCTTGTCCGCGGTTCTCTTTGGTGACCCGGACAACGGGAAAGCTGTAGGGCAGATCGATAGCTCCAGAACAAAGGTCTTCTGTCACGAGGCTGACAAGATTTGCGATGGGCAAGCCGTGGTAGATGCAGCGCATTTGACCTACAGTCTGAATGTGGGAGAAGCGACGGTATTCGTGCTCAAAGGCAAGGTTCTCGAAGCGTTGGCATCATATTCATTGAAAGACGACAAGACAAAGAAAGTTTCCGAGAAGGCTGTGAAGGCTTCCAGATATGAGTAAAGAGACATGGCCCTTGGGTGGATTATACATCGACCTCAACTATATCAATAGATAAAGATTCACTTCGGGAATCTTTTTCAGCATGATTGAGATGAGGGGAGGGTTCCTGATTGAAAAGACACGCCGGTTTCCCCAAGATACACCAAGAATACATTGCAGTAAGACACTCGAAGAAGGTTACATCAAATTAGGAAAGAGAGTATCTAGTAGAAAACACCTGGAATACAGAGCAGCAACGATGCCGTCTTCAGGCCATTGACGGAGAGCAAAACGTGAACAAAATCAGCAGTCAATTGAGGGCACAGGGGCGTCCTGGATGTACCTATGGTACAGTTCAATATGCTTGGTGCGGGCATTATAGCCGTCAGAGTGAGCAAGTTCAATAGCTGGCTCATTATCGCCGTACATACGGAAGGGAACAACGTCTGTGCCAACATAGCCCAATTCAGTGAGCAGCATAAGGACCCAGGTGCATTCTTTAGCCGTTTTTGACATCTGCACGAATTCAGCTTCAGCAGTCGAGGTGGTGACCAAGCGCTGTTTCTGCAAAGGGCACGGCTGTTTAATGAGCGGGCACTCAAAAATCGGGCTGCATGGGCTGCATAACCTGACGGAAATTTGATTGGCCCAGGCCGACAGGGACCATACATGCCGAGGAGGTTGACGCAGTCGAGGATTCACTGCCAAACTCTGGGATCGTCGTCGCTCAGTCGATCGGTTCAAAGATCGACGCGTCGAAGACCATCACACCAGCGGCTGGGTCACTGCACAGCCAGTCGTAGACGGGCTTTGGTACGCCCATGCTCAAACCGAACTGGTACAGCTGCGTCTCGGGGCTCAGCAGGCGTCGCTTGGTTCCATTTTCATCTTCGGCGGCGGTCAGGAAGTTCTCGGCACCACAGGTGTACATGATACCCTCCCAGCCGATCTTGACCTTGGTGTCGTTCTCGATGTACAGCTGCTCCGAGATTAGATCAACCATCTCAATCCATCAAGATCTCACTTACGGCACGGTCCGGGTTGCGGAGCTTTGTCACGATATCCTCAGTAGGAAGGATGCCAGGCTCACGCTGATTCGGGTCCTTCGCGGGCAGTGCAGCCGTGTACAGGGCCGCGTATCTGTGAGTACCCAGGCTCGGGGGAGCAGAGGCGTCGGTGGGCGTCGGGGAGTGTGTGTACGTGCTGCTCGAGGCACGGCGGTCGGAGAAGGCTAGGCCAACACTGCCCTCGATGGGCGTGAAGTAGGCGGGGACGTCGACGCCCAACTGTAAAAGCTGTCAGGTCAAAGGTACCTAGAGGTGGAAGTTGCTACTTACTCGGGGAGGACTTCCTGCACCGCTTCCAGCACTGGTCGATTTATCGCTCTTGTTCGCGGGCGAATTGGCGGACTTCGCCGGCGCGTGCGCGCGCGGGCTTGTTTGCTGACTCTGCTGAAAGCCATCCGTTGACGGGAACGGCTTGTAGGTGCTCTTGGGAGAGCCGGTGCTAGCGTTCTTCTTCGGGGTGTTGGGCGCTGACATGTCGTCTGTATATATGACAGAGGGTCGAAGGATCAAGAATGGGAGCAGGTAGCGAAGAGATTCAAGGGCAGAGAAATGTCGGGCGAAATAAGGGTGGTGGGAGTGGGTTTTATATAGGGAAAGAGATCGAGCTAAAGCCGTAGTGAAGGTCGAACTGATCAGAAATTTCAGGTTGAATCCACAGTGAGACAGCTACCGAACATCATAACAGTTGCTTCACTCGCAAAATTGAGAAGCTATTGATAGCCAAGGAGACTTCTGCCATGCAGAGAGTCAGCGGGCTTTAGCTGTAGTAGAGCCATAGCATACAGTTGATGGAGGAGCGCAGCCGCATTTTATATAGCCCTTATGTCACTTGCTTCAGTGCTTGTCCAGCATTGCGAATGCAATCGCCGCTACGCGTGACCAGGGCGCATTCTGACAATAAGCTCGATTGTCATACACACTACTTTCTACTGACTCGTAGTGCGAGTGTACAGCTACATATTCTTATATGCGACTATGCACAAGGGCTTGCAATCTGGTTGTGCCTAAGTCGACCCGGCACGTATGACCTAGTAAGCCCTGACTGCGTGAGAGGACTCTTAGTCTGTGGCTCAGGTTTAGGGCAATCAAAATGAAGTATAACAGAGTATTGTTTGTGCAGACTTATAAGAAGCATCGTCTCTTTGCGTACAGGAAACCTGGGAGAGACCAGTAATACCATTACCATCAACCTAAACTCACACTCATACCCGCAATGGACAGTTTGCCGAATCTATCGAGAGAAGGACATCTGTTTCTTGAAAAGGCCATCGAGCGACTCACGGCCTTTCAACAACCCAAACTAGACCGCGACGATTTGCGGAACGACAGAAATATACTCATCACTGTGATGAATCATATTCGAAAACTTGGGAAGAACGCTACGAACGCGCGATGGTATTGGCAGCACAAAAGAGGGAAGTGGATTCCGTGTTACATCTTGATCGAGCCCCGAGCGGACAGTGTTGAAGAGGACCAAAAGGAGAAGGATCGACTGCAACAGAAACCGAAGGATGATGAGGAGTTGAATGAGAGCAAGAGCAAGACCATGGAACATATGGAGGTTATTACAACAGTAGACGCAAAAGGATGCGCGAATGTTGTTGCGAAGGTAGATGCCAAAGAAAGCATTAAGGTGGAGGTAAACGCTGCGACGACCAGGCCGGAGGATGTTAGCCACGCTACGAACGAAGAAAGTGAAACGGTTACTGGCTCGGTCCAGAAGACGACCATTGAGATTCGCATCAAGCGTGGACCAATATCATAGAGTTTGAACTCATCGATATTGGCTACATGTTGGTTGCATGTATTGTAGAGTAACAGAGAAGTTCGTCTCGAATGATTCATGAATGAATATATCATCTTGCTAGAACAATATGCTAACATATGAAGGAATGGGTACGTTAGATAGAGACAGGATTCAGAAGACATATATTGCTGAAGAGACCTCTTTGCTTCGAAAACCTGTGACCTGCATACAAGTAGAGATTTTGAGACAACACATTTCCCACATGTTGCGCGCCAGTGATTTCCAGGTCCGTTTCCAGCTCCTTGCCTCAAGAAGTAGCCAGCCTCGCCTTGTCTGTAGCTATACGCTTGGCGCGAGCTTCTCTCTGTCGTTATCGCGGAGCTACAGAATCTCATGTTCTGCGCCAGGCGATGGAACACGCGTCGCTTGTTCTCCGGGTCCTGCTAGACGCCCACGTAGCTGTTTACAATAAGCAGTATCCAGTCAGCTCAACCACCTCTGCACTGTGCTGCCCACAGGCTTGCCCTCGCGCTTCGGGTCCCTTCTAGCCTTGTTTTCGGAAACCATTGAGTGTTGCTACCGCGGCCACGGGTACCTAAGAGATAGTCAGTCAGATGAAGCGAGAGTCTAGCAACTTACCATACTGCTCGTTGGAATGGTACAAGATATTTTCGAAGATAGCGCCCACGGAGAGAGGCAATTGGTGAGTGTCAGGCACCGTGGAGCAAGGACCGATAGCAGGAGTCCTCGAGGTACTTGTCGGTGGCTGAGCTGGAGTACGTCCTATACGGGCACCAAGCGCCCTTGTTCATGGGGCTGCGATTTGCGGCGATGTTCCGTTGTAAGTCTCAGCTCCCAGATAGTGCTGGCCCCAAGGTTGCATCTAGTACGGGTTCTGCACAGGGAAACCGGACATATGGGGCGGGGACGTCCCTTGTCTCTGTAATGGCCCGATTAAACCTCGATCTTCATAACTATTTCCGCGTCCCAGGGCGAAGAGTTGCCGTGGGCGGTAGCGTGCTAGTTGGTCATACGAACCCCTTTGATCGGAGTGGGAAGGTCCCGGGATCAAGGGGAGACTGCAACGCCTCCGTTAGCCCACTTTGACCGACAAAGACATTTGCCGCTCTAAGACGAAGTACAAATCCTCGCCGTAACCATGAGAGCTTGCCGGTTTGGAAGCGTTGTTGAACAAAGGAAGAGTATGCTGAGGTGTTCCCCTAGGGCAAGAGGCGATGCTTACAAGCTGGTTTTGGATACTTCGAACAATAGAGAACGACTTTTAGAGCTTGAGCGTGAGGGAAGAGACGAGGGTGACTTTGAGGGGAATAGCGACCTTGGTGGGCGCTAATCCCATTCAGAAGCAAGTGAAGTCGAGAGAAAGGCGCGGGGCAGTCAAAAGTTTGCCGGTGGATGCAATTTGGACTGACAAGAGGGATCGAGGGCTCTCACTCTCGGAAGGGTTGTTCGTCAAGGTGAGGTGGCCAAGATTCGTTACAAGGATGAATTTAGTATGGAAAAGCGAACCATCTTGAATACCCTGGTTCGAGCCTAGTCAAGCCCCCGTTATGCGAGAGCTCGCTGATTAGTCCTCTATTATGACACATGTCGCTGCAAGTATGAAATACTACTCAATCGAGCAGCAAGACCAAAGACCTTCCGGGTATCATAGCCAGAGACGCCAATGCATTCAAACATCAAGAAATTTTAAATCCCAAGACAGAGCTCCAGCTACCGCATGCCTACTTGCCGTGCGAAATCTTGCTGAGGATCCGATAATCGCACGGTATGATCCTGCCACGCGTCTTCCTGTCCGGTGGGCTGCACTCATCGATAGAATATCCCATCTTCTCATAAGCTTGGATGGCGCCTTTGTTACTGACAAACACGGTGAGCATCGTCTTCGTAATTGTGACGGACTGCGCCATAGCTTCGACCGTGAACATGAGCCATTTGCCCACACCCTTGCCTCGAAGCCTCTCCGCTAAGTGCACCTCGAAGATATATACGACTTGTCGATGTTCGTTCGGCGGATCGTCGTAGTCGATCATAAAGGAGATGAAGCCGACGATATTCGTATCGAGGTCGGAACCAAAGGCATCGCGGGTGCCGTCGGTGGCGCGGAGGAGGATGTATACCATGTCCTTGTTCGCCATCTCGGTTCGCTTCGAGGGAGGATGCCAACCTATGCGGGAAGCCTTGTACGCCGCCCCGGAAGTGTTTTGCACGATGTCAAGGCATGAACCGAGATCTTCTTCTGATAGCTCAGTCGAACGGCGCAGCTCAAGCTTGTATCCACCGCACAGGCCCTTGACTTGTCCGTGTTCCTGACTATGCTCCCATACTGCGGCAAGGACATCGTCGTTCCAGTCCCGCATGAGTGGTAGCGGCGAAGTCATGGGGTCGACGAGGAGATGAGGACCAGGGACAAGAGTGAACCTGTCCAGGTCCCGGGGCCTTGGAGCAGCTTGGTAGTCGCTTTTGGAAGTCGGATAGTTATGTTCCCTCCTCCTCTTCTTATACTCCTTCAATGGCGGAACCTTGGGCGGCTCATGCCATGCAAAGGCGGCGGGGTTGGCCTTGAGCTCGTTGTCGTCTTCGGGAAACACGATCTTCGGCTGAATGCGATGAGCACGATCTTCGCGGCGCTTCGCGAGCTTCTGTTCGTACGGAACAAGGGTCAAGGTATTGTCGCGCTTCTCTGTCGCTGCAGTGATGCGCGCCTGTTTCTCCCAGTCCCAATGGTCGCTGCGCGAGTCGACCATGGTGGCGGGATTGGCGTGGGATTCGTGTGGGGTCGAGTGACGCGTTTTAGGGAAGGTTGGAACGCGTCTTTGCCGGTCGATGGCCGGCGGACGCACGGTGCACACTCGCAGAGCCTCTCGTCACGTCTGCGATGCAGGGAAACCTCCAACAAGCGACCAGCGTTTTATGTCTATGCTGGACTAAACTGACTTACACACTGTCACCATATCCGTCTCTCATCCCAAGGCAAATCCACCCGACACTCACGGCAGTCACTGCAGGCTAGTCTACAGCAAACACTGTTTGCGTCAACCCGCTCCAGCCATTGGCCACCGAGAATTGGTCCGCAACTCCGCCTTGAACTACGGTGCATCCCCCGTGTACGATTGCCATGTACCCAATGAGGCGGGCCTACGCGACAGTCCTCAAAACCAAACCTAGCAGACTTCGGTCACGTGGGAAGAATCCTTTGGGTCTTGATCATTTCATCCAAAGACAACGTGCCCTGGCGCTCTGGAAGGATATAGTCCGCAGCACAGGTTCCATCTCGGACGCTGATATGCGACAAGAGATGCTACGGTTTGCCAGAGCCGAATTCGAAAAGCATCGTCACGTCGCGGATCTTGGCCATATTCGATATCTCATATCAGTAGGTTCGTGGTTCCGAATAGCCCATTCATTGCGCTGACAGTGAACTCTACAGACTGGGAAAACCCAATTTGACACCATGAAAGGTTCGCTCATAAACTCGGGCGTGATAACTGAGGCTTGAGTGTACCTCACATCAATTTCTCCCTGGCGATTCGTTCACAGGGCTGGCGGGCGTGCATCTGACTCGTGCAGGACCTAGCGCGGGGCCGCGGGCTGGGAACTTACGCCGAAACATCAAACACTTCCCTCGTCGCCAACACCCCATGTTGCTGGCTGCATAGCCTATCAACGGTCTCCGGATCCATCTTCCTTTATGTTCTGATATTTCCACGTGCAGACTGCGCACACACCCTCAACACCGGCCGTTGCTGAAGACTCATTCGTTCGATTTCGCACGCATCATCCCAATCTTGTGTCCCCGTACGAAACTTGATAGTACATGAAATCTCACGTCACCAGAGCTTCATCATATTGAACCAATCGCTCTGGTTCACACGTCCCAGGCCCTGCCTTTGCAATCAGATTGGAAAGTTCTGATCGATCCATGAAGTCTGTCCTCATCGTGGGCGGAGGCCCGTCTGGCCTTGTTGCCGCCAAGACACTCCTGGAGTATGCTGGTGGTACAAAGTACAAAGTTACATTGTTCGAGGCCGCGGACAAAGTCGGCGGCATGTGGAGATCGTCTCCAGGTGAGAAAGGCGAGATCTGCAGCCCGCATATGCGAACGAACCTCAGTCGGTTCACAGTCGCATTTCCAGATCTCGCATGGGGGTCTGTCGATCTTACAGATCCTATAACTGGAGCGAAGCCTTCTGGACCGCCCGCAATATTTCCGCCAGCGTGGCAAGTAGGCCGGTATCTGCAGACGTATGTGAACAAGTTCCTTGCGTCTGGAATCGTCCACTGCAATAGACGTGTCACTGTTGCAGACTTCGAAGGTGGCCTTGGCGGAACGTGGAACGTCACTTCAGTGGATCAGACTACACGGCAAGAATCGAAGGACTCTTTTGACTATCTGATCGTGGCCAGCGGGTTCTTTCACCGGGCTGGACCTAAGATACGTCAAAGTCAGATGCAGCATGGATCCGGAAAGAGGATACAGCATTCTTCGCAGTTTCGAGATGTGGCATCATTCTCAGAGGACGCAGGAAAGGTAGTTGTTGTTGGTGGTGGGATCAGTGGCAGTGAGGCAGCCGCTACAGCTGCGTTCCAGATTTCCAACGCAAAACACTCGTCTGGACAGAAGCCTGCATGGGCAGACAGCAAGGTCTACCACGTATTTGACCGCCCGTTCTATACGCTTCCTCGATATGTACCACAGGACCCGTACGATCCAGCAATCCAAGATTTCAATTTATCTCCTCGATTCCTCCCGCTCGACCTGATTCTGTACAACCTTGGCCGACGAGGCGGCGATGGCCCGATCACTGCGTCGATTGGACAAGTGCCGGCCGAGAAGGCTGAAAAGGGCCACGAGTTCATCAGAAACCTACTAGGTGGCGACCAACGAGCTACTGGGCGTTTGGAGCTGGTCTCAAAACCTGACAAAATCCAGTATCCTGCTTATACGGGAGTAACCGACATGTACGCGGAATTTGTCAGGGATGGTACGATTGTGCCTATCAATGGCCGGGTCGTAAACATTACGCAAGGCGCGAGCAAGGACTTCTCGTTAGAGGTCGCTGCTCAGGGTCCCTGGGCCAATGCGAACGAGGTCAGTTCTTACGAAACTTGCAAATACTTGATCTAACACTCGCACAGCCCACATCGCATTTGGGAGACGTGACTGGCGTTGTCGAAGCGACCGGGTTTCAGTCACATCTCAACTACCTCTCCGAAGATGTCAAGCAAGCCTTGGAGTACGACCCTGACAGCCATCGTGTCCCGTTTCTCCTATCACACGGCTCGGTCTTCAACGAAAAAGTGCCAAACATCGCCTTCGTCGGCTTCTACGAAGGCCCTTACTGGGGCGTAATGAGCATGCAAGCCAAGATCATTGCACAACGGTGGGACCATAAAACATCCCCGAACACAGCGTTCGATACGCTAGACACCAGCGATGCCCTGTCAGTACGACAAGCCATCAAAGACGGCAAATTGGACGTCCCGCAGTTCTGGATGGCAGATTACGTTGGTCTGATGGAAGAATTCGCGCAGCGTGTGGGCTTGCAGCGTGATGATTCAGCTCTGGGTGCGGGCGGTCCGCTCTTTCCGGCGCGGTACCAGGATGAGGCAGAAGAGAGAACTGAGGCTGCGGCTGCCGTATGCGAAGTCGCCGAAGTCCTTCAGCGGTCAGAAAAGGAAGGCTTGTTTGTGGCAGCTGCGGCCTTCCGGGGTATGCAAGGCACGTGGACGCTGCGGAGAAAGGTCGGCTCGCGCCTTCCTTCGATGCCTAACGGCGTATTCGAAGGCACAGCACACTTCAATCCGCGCACCCCTACTGACACTATCTACTCCGCCGAGTATCTGTACATCGAAGACGGTACGCTTACCATGTCCAACGGCATGAAGTTCCCAGCTACAAGGCGTTACGTCTACCGATATGAGGAAAGCAACGACACCGTGACCGCGTGGTTCGTGGACGGGGATGGCTTGACCGTCGGTGACTTCTTCACCCGATTGGAGTTCTACCGACCTACGGATGTCGAACATGGCTGGATGGCCAAGGGCCGACATTGGTGCAGTCCCGATACGTACAAGAGCAGCTGCGAGTTTCGGTTCAGGGGCGCTAGCTTGGAGACTTTTGGGATCACGTACGAGGTGACTGGGCCGAAGAAGGACTATAGCCACGAGAGTTGGTACAGTCGGCCGACACCGGGCCTTGCTTGAGCGGCTGCAGCAAGAAGCTGACCGAGGTTCAAGTGGTCGAGCTAGCACGCTGAGCTGCAGTCAGCTGCTGAAAGACATGGTTATGTAAAGAATTCGCGTGGGCGCATCCCGCACAATGAGGCGAACATATTGTTTTCCACGTCAGTCTACTTTGTGATCATACCTCAGCTCATGGAGGCTACCATGTTCGGCATGCTCTCGTTCTTTGTTACGTTCAATATAACCCTGCCATCGTACCAATCGCTCTAGGAGAGATTACGCCACTGTCAACGCTACCGAAGACCAGCGTGTCAAAATCTAGTGTAGCCCTACGGCAGCTTGTGACTGGCCGCTTACTGTTCCGTCGAAAGCTAATTGCCATCACTACTGTGCAATCAGCTCCGCATGCATGGCTGTGGATCCATGACGACCCTCATATTCCACTGGTTACACATATTGAAGAGAGGAGGTACAGTCTCACCAACGCTGCAACAGATGTAAGACCTCGCTATCTCCACTCATCTCCCGAAAGCGCTGCCAAGACTCTCAGCTCACTCTCATGTCAATGGACGCACCTGCGAGGGCACCACCCCTTGCGAAGGTCATTTTCCAAACCTGTCCCGATCCATGCGAAGCGTGAATTGCATCGGTGCAATCGAACCAGCTTTCAGATGACGTTCCTTCTCAACAACCCACCAATCTGCTATGAGCCCACCTTCAGATCATGGGGTCCGTTTGGGAGGTATGCCTATGGTGCTTCGTGATGTTTCCGACGGATTCCTGAACGCTTGTAAACCTCCAAGAGTACCGCGACACGGCTACGATGCCGGCGAGAGGTTTTTCTGCGTCAGAACGACTTAAAGCTGCTCGTTTGCGATATTTACTCGTTCTGAGATTATTCTGAGCTGTTACAGGATCTTCAACGCACCACCTAGAGACTCCATCCTAGGATCTATCCTCAAACACGTTGCCTTGCATTATGCCCAGCGCCACAAACAGACTCGGAATGTCAACCACACTAGCCCCCATCACGGAACTATTCTATCACCATCTCATCTCGGTTACCGTACCACTCGCTTCAGCTCTGGAATGTGATCTGGATGTCCACACGAGGTCTGAGTTACCCATAGTCCCACGCTCACCGCTCCGATGAGGCTCCCAATAGGTGTCCATCACTTCCTGGTGTAGCAGCCAGTACCAATATGGCACCCTCGCTCTATCAATGTACAGGAGGTGTTTTAGATGTATAGCTTACCTGTGCGGCTACAAGCCTGATGAGAGATCACAGATCGAAGATGAGGTCAATATTGCGCGTGCGAAGGGTGTGAGTGTGGCAGCGAGATCTACAGTCCCCCAGCCTATTTAAGAGAGCACCTGGACGCCTTTGCCCAAGTCAGATTCACTGTTAAAGCAAACTCTACTGCACTGACACCAGAGCAAAGTCTTCAAAGCTTCCTTCGGGACTTTCCGAGTCACGGGCTTACTGCCGTCTTCACTTATTTGTCCCTAGATTCGGCCAACCTTCCCAAACTACGCTCCTTCTCAAAAATGAAAGCCATTTGTCTTCTTCTCTGTCTCTTCGCCGGTGTTGTTTTTGGTACACCGGCGAAGAGAAACTGCCCGCAGCAAAAGTGTATCAATGCTACAGACAGCTGCGGTGAGCCTTTCAGCGAGTAAGTGGCCACCAACTTCGCCATACTATCTCCGTGCCAACCACTCTTTAGGTGCTGGGATGCCTGTTCCCTCGGAATCAACGAGCATCCCACTTTCGTCGCGCCGCCGTGCTCGGTCTCGACCCCTGTCTTGTTATCAACAGCAGCACGCGGTACGGCCCCAGTCACGGCTCCTATCATTCCACCGGACGTCACATCCGCGCCTGATCCATCGGCCACTCCGCCTACCGATGGTTGCAAGTCAGAGTTCACCATCTGTATCGACTACTTGAAACCCTGCAACAACGGGAGTTACAGCATCCCCTATGGTGGCTGCCACGATGCCTGCTCGAGCGACAAGGTTTACACCGCCCCACGTTGCACGAAAACCTGGATCGCTGAAGCACCAACCACTACAAAGACGAAGATCAAGAAGCCGAGTGTTACGAGGCCGGCGTGTAACAATGCGAAGAGCTTCATGTGCGCGCCTATGAACTGGCGGCTCTGATAAGGCGCGCCAGCGATACTTCCAAACCTCCTCGCTTGTTTCTCGTTTTGTATCGATAACTTGCGCAGAGTCTGTTTCCAACTTCTTTGCTGACGATCTCGCTTCCTTCGTACAATTCAATTCATTTAATATCTGTACGGTTTAGTCTGATCCCTTGGTCTTGGTTGTGTATTTGGTCACTCTCTTAGAGTAGATGAGCAACGGCCGTACATGCTTGTACTTCAAATTGATTGGATTTTTTATTATCGTACACATACCGATTTGATATCGATGCGTTCTAAGCAACATAGTATTGAGAATTTGATAGCCATAGTCTTCGAAATAAATCACGTGAATCAACGGGAGCTCTTGTGTTACATCTCCGTGCAGGTTCTTGGAGTGACCCGCGATACAGTGATCGTGAGAAGGTACAAATCGAAGGAAGACACCTAGAAATCATGATACAGTATAGATTGACTTTTAGGATTGGAGGCTATCAGCCTAGGCCATTACGGCATCGAAAAAGCGACAATACAAGAACAAGAAAGAAAGGAACAAGCACCCCAAACCACGTCCACCTCACTCCCAATCGTCGTCAGCCTCTCGATCCCAGTCCATCCCCTCGCGCTCCGCCTCTTTCTCCATCTCCTCCAACGGATTCCTCTTCGCAGGGCGGGAGATTGGGGCGCGCAAGTTGATGCCGAGCTTGAGCTTCGGCTTCGGCTTCTCTTTCTGCTCTCGCAGACGCGCTTCCTCCTCGACATCCCGTACGACTGGAATCGTCTCCGATCCGCGCATAAACTGCACGAAGTATACGTGCATGCAGCACTCGCCGATCACGCTCGTAATGCCACCGATGTCCGAGACAGCACCCCACTCGCGGACCGTCACCACAGACAAGCCCTTCTCGGCATCGAAACCCCAGCCGAACTCACCTCGGCGCAGCTTGTGGAGCTCAAGCGCTCCCGGGTTTTCCAGGTGGGAGAAAGGGGTCTCCAATTCGACCCAAGTGTCCTTGTTCTCCAGCGCGAATTGCTCTTCCTTCAGCAATTCGTCCATGAGAGCCACGTTCGCTGCTGCAGCTTTGTGGTAGACTGCGCCAACCTTCGTGATCTCGCGGTCGCGCTCCGGGTAGTAGTATATGGTGCCTTTCTTGAGGCAGAAGTGCTGGTGGATGTCGTCGGGGGCGCGCTGGAGAAGATCGAAGCCACCTGCAGTGGCGGCGCGAGAGAATATGACATCGACCTGCTTGCGCAGCTGGTCGGGAAACGGATCGTATTTCGAATTGCTGGCCGGCTTGAAGTCGGCCTCGGTCTTTGCGGGGGCGGTCTTGAGCTGGTCGACAGCGGTGAAGCGGAATGACATGATGGCCGCGGTGTTGCTGGCAAGGAAATGGAGAATGCGCTTGTATATAGAAGAGAGTTGCAAGCGAGCAGAGCTTGGGTGGAGCTGTTGCGTCGATTGAGGTTGTGTGGTTGTACGGTGCTTGGAGAAAGAGGTAAACAAACGACACTGAGCGATATATATCGGGCGGGGAATACTGAGCAAGCGAGTGAAAGCCCACGAAGCCGTCGCCTGCCTTCAAAATAGCCTGGAGTAACTCAAGGTATTCAGAACTTATGAGGGCCGCTTCACCTCAAGCCTTCCCAGCGACTTCCCGCATGGCGGCGGCCAAAAGGCTGATTCAGGAGCAGTAACTACGGAAGATGCAGTAAACCAGTAGCATATGCCACAATTTGCCATCTCAATGTATATACATAGGGACAATAGCATAGGATACTCCTGAAGAACATCCTGAGTGCTCTCGAGCCACCTTTAAACGCTCCATCCGCACCCACAACACGTGCTCAACGGCTTGCTATCTGTTAGTCTAAGTGAGCAGGTCTACATCACGCATCAGTGTCTCCAAGGGTAACTTACGTCAGGAAACTTCCACAAAGTGCTTGACTATCGTCTCCTCCACGCTCAACGCGTCCGCTTATTGTTCGCCAATTGGGAATCAAGTCAGCAGATCGGGGCTTTGTATCAGGAGACTTGCTCCATGTGTCAAGTGCCCCCCTGGCGACATGTTTGCTAAGTTTTCTTGCGTACAATCTGGTGGTGGGCATCGTGAAGGATAAGGTACACTCGGAACATATTGCACACGTTCACTTGTCGTTTTCTTCTCACGAGTTGTTTGATTGCATGTTCGGGAGCGTCAGCTGTGGACTCTTTGAGATGCTGAGAAGGTGGGCGAGGTTCGATTTGTTGTCATTAACACCACGCAGGAAAAGACGCGAAAGGCATGATAGGAAGGACAAGCGGATATGAAGAACAACACGAGGTGACAATGAACGTTGTAGATCTAGCCTGGCGTAATACAACCCTCGTAGCCATAAATCAATGCATACTCTTTCTGACACTACAATTTACAACATCTACTCATTACCTTACCACCCACCCTTAATCCCCCACGCCGTCCCCACAATACCCAAGCCCGCTATCCCCGCCGCCAGGATTTGCGCTCCCACTCTGATAACCAATGTCTTCCTCCCATACACTCCACTTCTCTTCATCCACGGTTTCAGCTGCTGCAAAGCCAGCATCTGCAGCATATGCGCCAGCCCGCACGTCACTACCGTCATGATAAACAGGTCCTCGAAGTATGACGATAGTACCACCGCAGGATTGACCGGTTGGAGAATGCAGTGAGACTTGAGCGTGGAGTGGAATTCCTTGGGAATGTGGATCGAGCTTGCGTTGGTGCGCTCAAGGTGCGGGTCGCTGGGGGTGGCGAGCGAGATGTTGGTAAGAGAGGAGTTGGTGCCGTTAGCGAAGGTCGCGTTGGCTGCTGTGCTGTTGGAAAGAGGAAGAGTCATGTTCTCGCCCAAGTGGAGAAGCTGAACTTTTAGCTCGTAGCATTCGAAAGCAACAGTATTGGGGAGCGTCGAAACGCGCCAGAAGAAATAGATTGTTAGGGCAAGCCAGACGAAGCCTTGGATAAAGTATAGTGCCCAGTGTGAGGGTGGGTTGTCCTGGAGGAAATTGGTGGCGAAGTTTTCGTCGCCGTGGTTCTCCTCTGCTTCTGCTTGTCTGTCACGGTTGTATCTCAGAGGTATGCATGGAAAAAATCGAGATTGGCGAGAGGATGGACTCTGGGGAGCTTGGCCAAAGTCATGGCTTCGTTCCTCCCTTTTCATCCCACTTGTGCCTGTACCTTGGCGATTGATGCTGCCTTGCCTCAATGGACTAGGATATGATGTGGAAACAGGTTGGATGGGTCTCCTGGAGCGGTGCGAAGGAAAACGTTGAGATATGCCAACAGGTAGAGGTCTTAGCGGCAAATCATCTTCTGTGCCAGAGCCGCTTGGCGGATCTGGGTTTGCCGTGAAAAGTTGCATTGTCCTTGCCGTGCCTAGTTCAGGTGTCGAGCTGCGGCTGCGAAGAGGACTGCGTGGCGGGACGGGAGGGATCAGATATTCCTCTCCTTCTATACTGTCTCCGAAATAGTCCCCTTCCTGCACTGTTTGTCCGTGGTTTTGATCTTCCCTCTGCAACCATTCGAGCACATTGCCTCGATCCACCACGCCACTAACCGTCGACCGAGTTGCAAGGTTTCTTCTGCCTAACCTTCTGTATCGTGATGGAGGGTGCGAGACTGGTCGCCTTTGTGGACGTGTATCTCGGACAACAGGTGGGTCATTCCATTGGTGCTCAGCTTCGAGCCACAAATCTTTTGCTGACGGATTGGCAAGAACCTGCGCGATGCTTTGCTCTGAATCATACTCGCTTTCGTTGTACGTGTCCGAGACGAAGGGAAATCGAGTGACGTTCCTTCGCTGTTCCAGCTCCTCTAGCTCTGCTAGATTAAGATATTCCCGATGATACCCTGGTCCGTGTGTTGAACGCCGCTCAGGATAATACGGAGGTGTTTGTGTCGATCGCGAAAACGTGGGGCGCATGTTATTGTCGTTTTCTGAAAGCAACGTTTCCGATGTACTAGGAAGCTCAGCATGGATTGCTCCTCCTTCGCCCATTCGATCCGTAACATGAAGGCTTTTGCCTGAGTCTTGCGATCTCATTGAAGACGTCCTCATTAAGGATGTTCGCTCTATATACGCAATGTTCGGTGTAGACACCGCTTCATACTGCGTAAATCGAGAGCTTGATCGGGAGAATGCACGCACCACGCCTGGATCTTGGCCGTTCAAGGATGCAGTCGGTTGACCATTGACGAACTGCTCTTGATGGGCACGCCTAGGCCGCGATGACCCACTTTCAGAGGGTTCTGAAGGCTCAGACTGTGGGTTCGAGATAGTATGACGACGTAACAAGGGCCGTCGAAGAGAAGAGTGCATTGTGAGGATGTTCATACGACGATGCTGCTTATAGTTAGCGAGCCATGGACCTAGCTTCGGCTTGTGGCGAACATACGCCTTGAGATCGCGAGCGTCTGAAATTCTGCCTCGGCTCTTGTCGCTCTCTGTAACTGTGCGCAGAGCCCGACGAGGAAGCGCGTTCGGGATACGTTCGTTGAGACATGCTTGAGCTGGTGATGAATGCTACAGCCTTCACCCAACTCTTTTTACCACAGCCCTCGTGAAGGATTGACGTTATCTTCTCTAGTCCATGAGCTCAGTATGGTCACATCCAAGGAGTTGAAAGCGGGCGCGCATGTGCTCACCGTCAGTCTCAACCCAACGGCCTCTTGCAAGGTACAGTTACATGATGCCGTTATCGCAGGCAAAGTATTGTTTCAATAGAGCGATAGATGGTCCGACCGAAATTACATTGCCATGTTCGTGACGATCGTGTTTAACGTTGAGCCTTCCGGTACCAAGGATACAACAGAATGGCGAACCACCATGCCCTGATATGTAACACCAACGCAAAGACTGTCGCCGCCATTCGATACGAAGCAAAAGCTTTCGAGCGTATATATGCAATGTGCGTAGCGGCCCAGTTGATGCGTGTGGCCTGCCCAACACTCTTGATGAAACTATCGATAATCGTGATGGTCCAGAAACACAACGCTGGCCCCGGATCACTAGTCTCCCACATCTCTTCCTTGAAGTTTATCACCCACACCCAACACATCATGGTCATGCGAGCTAGTGCAGTCCACCATATCCGTCGCCAGGGTCTGAACTCGACCAGTATTCGCGTCAACCCGTAAAAGGCGAGAGGTGCGGAATACAACGCTTTCGAAACGCGTCCCTTCGGTGGAAATTGTACGGGTGCGCTATCCTCCCCTTCCAAAGTTGGTGCTGTATACGCAAGGGCAAGCTTCTTCCTCAATTCTGGTACTGTGGCAAGTAGTACAAGGCTTGCGTGCGGCTCGTTGTAACAACTGACGACCGTGACTTTCCTTACGAAGTCTGCGTATGTGACCTTGTCCTGCAAGTGGAACGTCAGACTTAGATGGTTCGCAACAACGGTCTGCCATCCTTCTAACGTCTCTACTAGTCTCTTGGTGAACTGGTATAGTAGATCGTATAAAGGCTCGCCAGTGCCCACGATGACGAAGTCCCTATCTGTAGCTTTGGAGTTGGTGACAACGAAGGAGCGTATTTGGCTGGCGTGGACGAAGGCGTGCGCAGAGTAGAACGAGCCGCCCTCGGCTACTTCGATGAGTCGATAAGGCTTCGTGTCGGACATTGGGAGGCGCTTAATTGCTTCGACAGTGCGATCGTTCAAGGTGGAGCAAGAGAGCACGAGAGGAGCGAAAGGCTGGATAGGCACCGATGCGGACGATGCAATTGCGTGTTCAACGTCTACGAGCGTGTCTTCGTCGTCGGTATCGTAGCATGGTAGAGGCTGTAATGAGAACGTCGATTCGCGGTTGCTCAGTATTTCCGCAATACAAGTGCGCGAGTGTACCATGAACGTCGCGGGCACCTGGACGATACTGGGGTTTGCGGCGGAGGCATTGACTATATTATCACGCACGAAGTCCTGGAATTCGAAGTGGTCTTGTGTAAGGGTCTCGCCGACAATGTTGGCTCCTCTTGCTCTCAAGCTTTCGACGAAGTGTCCAGGTAAGGGACCGAAGGGAATGATCAAGTCGATGTTTTGTCCGATCGCTTTCCACAGTGCAGCTGCGCTCCATGTCTCAGACAGGCGATAGAAGCGTCGGTAAGCACGGGAGTATCGGGCTGGTGCTGTTCCCCAGATATGTTCTTCATCGGCAGCATGGACGATATGGCCCTCTGCAGCCAACACTCTTGCCAGTGCAAGAGCAGTTGGCGATGAAGCCGAAGTGAAGAGGATCTGCATCGCGCGGAATGATCAAGAGAGCGGAGTCGTTCCCTCAGGTCGGGGGGTGCGTTGGAGTGATGATGATAGACGCGTTGGAGGCGGTGGACCATGGTGGTCAAGGCAGAAGCAGAGGTATCGCGTTGTTGCATCGTCGCGTAGAAGTGGTCGGTGTAGTGTTGTACCAGACTGTGACGGAATGTGGGGCATTAGAAGGAAAGCATCCAGACCTATGAGACCACGTCACATTCCGCGGGGGTTTCCTAAAACTGATGCAGATGAACTAACCTACTTAGCAATAGCGCGCGAGTCAAGTACATGCTTTTGGTGTACTTGAGAATGCATTTGAACATAAAGCTCAGCGCGCCGCCATGCTCCATGAATTGCGCCGATATGCCGCCCATTCAATTTCACATCAGCACACAAACAATGCCGGCAGATGCGCCTGTATATGTCATATCGCGCAGACCGACGGCGTCGCAGGCTTCCCTCTTCATCCGCTCCAGAACGCGGACGCGCACAAATTCAGCAGTGACACATTCGATATGTTACGGCGTACACGATTAGTATAGGTTGGCGTACTAGTCGCGGACACTGTCTTCGGGGTCTCGAGACAAGTGCACACGGTCCTACAATCTTCAAGGCCTGGGCGATCAAGCTGCTGAGGGCAGATGCCTTAGGGTCCGCTGCTCTGGGAGTAAGTCCTGCTTTGTTGCCCACCAAACCTGGGGGGCATCACCTTTCGAGCCGGCAGCAAAAGCAAAGATGGTGGTTGTGGTAAAAGGTAGAGCTATAGTGCGCCTCGCGGGCAGAGGGGGGTATCTTGTATTGTACATGCCTTTTGGCCTATTCTACATGTATCGTAGCATCATTACTCCTGCATTTCTGCGATTACGTCGGGGTGCGTCGGTGGTCCTTCTTTTCCAACACTCTGCAAATCCTGCAACAGGAGCCTCAAGTGATCCTCCCGATTCTGATTGCTTCGCCAGGTCACAGCCTGCGAGTAGTACATGATGTCCCACGCATCGTCAGAAAGATTCTGAAGGAATGTAGGCAGCGAGCGCGCTTTCGAATAAGCACGCCAAAGGATGCGTCGGATGTCGTCGTTCGCGCCGATGTACGCATACTCGATGGCTTCGTTGAAGACGCGCAGCGCTGGCGCAATATTAAACGGCGGAGCAAGGTCCACGCGGAGAGCTTGCATGGCTGCAAGATGTTCTGGGTTGCTTTTTGCGACTTGCATGCGCTCCTGCAGGCTTGTGATGCGATGAGGTTCGAGGTTCGTCGGGTCAGGTGCCAATTCGAATGGTGCCTGCTTCCGCTGCTCCTCGTTGATGACTTTTTGAATGTACATGAGCTTCTCCATGAGCTTCGGATCTTTCATGATCTGGTCGACCTTGGCTTCAAGCTCGGCGTCCACCGGCTCACCATCTTCATCAAAATCCCGAGCCCCTCCAGTGGGAGAGGATTTTGCGAGCTGGTATAGCTCTTTGCCTAGCTCTGCAAAGCTCATCTCCCTGCCCTTGATCTCTTCTTCGTCCAGATCTTCATTTTCTGGGTCCTCGTTGAGAACTTTCTCCATTTCAGCTTCGAGCTTATCGAGCGCGTTGTCATTTTCTTGAACTCCCTCACTCATAGACGACCCCATCCCCATGGACCCCATCAGCTCTTTCATCTGGCGCAATAACTCGGTCATGTCTTCCGGTTCGTCGAATGGATCCGTCTCTTCAGGCAGCTCCGAGTCAGCCTCTGAAGGATCTGGTATCGGTCCGTTTTCGGCTTCCCATTCAGCAATCTTCTTGTCGAAATTCGGGTCATCGCCTAGCTTCTCCAACACCTTATCCAGTGCGGCCTGGTATTCTGTGTTCTCGCCGTCAACTTCCGGCAGAGCGTCCTGCAGTTCTTCTAGCTCCGCGCGCGCATGTGCAAATATGGGGTCCTCGATCACTTCTTGCAAAGACTCGTACGTTGCCAGCTGCAGTGCAGATTTTGTCTGCATTTCCTCAGACTCTTCCGCCTTCTCCGCCTCTGCCAGCATTTCCTCCTGCTGCTGCTTTGTCAAGATAAAATTCTCCTTGATGTCTTTCAGCTCGTCGGTCAAATCCGCAAAGTACGGATCCTGCATCAGCTCATTCAACATATGCTTATTGAGCTCCCGGTCGTCGTAGTCTGGGTTTTCTTCCGCCTGCATAAGCATCTTGTGAATCTCGTTGTGTTTCCGTCGCTCTTCGGGGGTTCGTATGTGCTCGATGAGCCGCTCGCCGGTGGGGCTGGTGGGATCTTGCTCATAGATGGATATTTCGGTGGCATTGGGGTCGTTGATTTGCTCTTCGGTCAGCGGGCCTTCTAATTTCTCGACTTCTTCGATCGACTGCGGCAGGCGGATTCCAAGGCCCTCGAAAGGATTTTTCGGATCCTGGGGAGAGTGCGCGAACCGCACTGAGGTCGGGACATTTGTGTATCGCGGTGGGAGTGGACGGGCTCGCACGCGCAGAAGCAGCCTACCGCCGCGCAGAGCGAAGGAGGCGTTCCTCATCATGCTTTCCCTTACAAAGTCTGTCGTCGCGACATAGAGGCACAATAAGTAGGGTGGCGGGTGCTGAGCATGTTCTACTGGGGTGTCGAATGTTCGCTCGCGGCGCGAACTCTTGTCTTGGCGCTCGGAGGTCCGCCACTGCCCGCCAGGACGTGAGCCAAGGCCTGCACTCATTCCCGCCTATGGTGCAGCAGTCCGTCTACTTTGAACTCCAAAGCTCATTCGCCAATGCGAGCGAATGCGATCTCTAGGAACTGCCTCTTTTGACATCACAGACAACTTGGCATCGCGACCACTCGAACCGTGGTACGGGCTCTGCCAACCTGACATACGACGAGTGGCCTTCTCAATTTCTGATACCGCCAGCCACACAGCACGTACTATCCCGGCAGTGACCAAGAAGACAAGATCCAGCCCGCACTGGTTGAGCCAGCTGTCAGCGTGACATGTCCATGCACTGGATTTCTCGGATGGCTTGCAAGTGTATGCCCAGCCGCCAATTGCAGCGTTTCCAGCGTTTCCCACGATAGGCGTCTCGATATGGTGGTACTCAATCAGATATGTGCACTTGTGGGTCAACTCCTCGCTCTTCATGTACTCCATACATATGGCAATTGCGTGTTTGGCACTCGAAGTGCTCATAGCCATCCTTGTCTTTCTCCTGGAAATTGATAGTATCAACCTCCTTCGCCCTGTCTTTTGAACCGCCATGCTTCCATCCCGAGTAGACCTTACCGCGTTCAGAGATGCCAATGTCCATGTGAGCGAGGATCGAGGTCGAATGCTTTGAAGAGAAGGAACTGTGGGTGCTTGGTACAGTGAGGGATGACTTGAAGAGTATCTAGCAAGATGTGAGCGTCCGCCGCTGGAGATGTATATCCTCGTGCAGGTGATCATTCCATTGGATAATGTCCTTGGTCAGCTCATCTTTCGATGGTGCCGAAGGTAAACTCAGGACCTGCTTCACATCATCAGCTCCGCTCGAATCTTTCCGACCATCAGAGAGCCCGAACAAATAGTATGGACTGCCATACATACCAGCGATGGACACACTTCTGCTTGTTCCTTTTGCTGACCGCACGCGCCCCAAGTTTTGCAGCGCGCACACCCCTACTTAACGCCGCGTCGTTATCGGTTTCCCGGACGTCGCGATGGCGATGGCGCTGGATCCTCGACGGCGGATTCTCGTGGCGCTCCTGTCTGCCAAGAATGCGGCGCTTCAACTTGCTGATGGGCTTCTCTGCTGCGAGGCTCCTGTCTCGCTCGTTATGGCACTTATCGACCCCAAAAGAAGAGGGCCCATGTCAGGACGTAGACGACAATGCTGAAGGGTAGATTGTCTCAAATAGACATGATTGACGTCGCGGCAGGTTTAGGAGGAAGGCCTTGGGAAGCTAGAATGTCAGCCGTTAGGCCGGTGCGTAGTTTCGTGCTGGGGAGGACCGAATTCGATTTGGTGGTCGCTTGGTACTGTGTGGTCCTTCGGGCCAGAGGAACTTCAGTGGAGCTGGTCAGTGAGACTATGCTTTTGAAGGTCTTCTGTCCTCTCCACAAGGTTAGAAGCTGCTGGTACAATGGCATTGGCTATACGTCCATTCAGGCCACATGCTGTTCTACGTATGGTACTAGCTCGAAAATTCGGGCACTGCATTGCTCATCCCAAATTAAGACAGATACCAAAACTGCTCTTAAGGCACTGCATTCCTTTGATAAGCGATCTACAATACTATGTAGGCGGGATCCAGTTCCTGTGTTCCAACACACTGCCGATTGTGAGCGTCACATAACCCGACGTGCCTGCCGTCTGACCACTGCTCCTTCCTCTTGTCCAAAATGCATGACCACCTAGGCCCACATCTATCCCCATTCTGTCTCGCTTTATACGATGTATTTCCGAAAGTAATCATCAAACACAAGTCGGGGTAGCATAGTGGTAGTGCGCTCTCTGAGCTTCGTCCGGATTGCCTGCGCCCAGTTCTCTACTGTAATTAATAAATAGTAGTACTATAAAACACTGGTGCTTTCTGTGGCGAAGGGAACAGCCTTTATCGGCTGGCTCCATTCAGAGGGAGACGTGGGTTCGAATCCCATCCCAGATGGTATCTTTTTTTCCTCTTGTTGCCGGCTTTTGGTGCCGAAAGATTGGCGGTCAGAGACAATTCTTGTTTTCTAAAAGTTATGAGATCGCCTGCCTTATCTCATTTGACTTGTAGTGGTCTTCGTGTGCTCTTAAAGTGAAGAGACGAGGTGATGATACCAACCCTTTCAATCCCCACTATCGTATACCAATATGCATGCATTCAAGTCAACAAGATCCGGGAAAAGACCTCAACAGAAGGTTCACAAAAGGTTTCGAAGACAGCTTGACGGTTAAGAAGAGTCCCCAGTTCCGGTAAACCACATAGCGGCCGTCGAGGTGATGCGAGGGACGCAACGCCACATGCACTTAGTTGGAAGCGGCAAGGCTGTCTACGTACATATAATGGCAGATTACCGAGCTGCACTTTGCTCTCGAGCGGAACGGCGCGGTTGTCAACGGCGCGGCCCGCATCATGAGCTCCTGTATTAGTCACTCCACCTGAAGCACACACCGTCATTGTCTGACCCGTCACGCGAATATCTCGCGCCAATGCTTGAGCATTGTATTTAATTTACTTCGCACCGTTGCGCAATTCGCGATTACATATACAAACGTGGTCACAACTAGGCATGTGGTCATAAGTCGTTCGTAATTGGCCGCTAACACTATCTCCAATACTCAACGGTTTCCAAGCAGGTCCGTATGCTTCGGTCAAGCAACTGCGGGCTTGACCAATGTGATAGATGACAACAGTATAGACTGTCCATCAATGGTTCAGGCCCATGGGCGCCATTCGCGTCACAGGGCCATGACACCGCCCGCTGCACTACACGATCATCGCTCTGGCAACTTTCCACCTCGATCACTTTTCGTCCAATATTCCTCTTCCCACCCTCTGCAGTCGCCCGTTGTTCCTTCTTGGTTGGTATCTGGTTATATTTTCAGATCCTTCCGCTTTCTAGACCTTGGCTGCGCTAGAAACTGCTTGCCTTCCATAAGAGGACTTGCCGTCCGGATCCACTCTCCAGCTACGCTTTGTTGGGCTGTCCGCCATGCCTTCCCTCAGAAACCTGCTGAAGAGACGCTCCACGACTGCACCTATTGACGAAGATAGATGCGATGATCCTAATGAATTCCGCCTGCCAACAAAACTGAGGGACGTCAAATTACAGGACTCAGAGCCCCAGTCGCTCCCCAGCGTAGATGCCGACGTGCACACTGTCCGCTTTTTTCTCTATCATATCCTCACCTTCAGAGGTAACCAAGTAGCAAAGCGCTGGCCACAATGGTAAGTTGCCATGTCCATGCACGCATAAGCTGCTTTTCGCTCACCATACTGACCTGATCAGGGTTTTAGAAACGGTCTCGTACTGGAAAGGGGACGGAAAGGCATTACGTCTTTTGGAAGGAGATTTGACACATCTCTGTCCGATGAGAGCCGGTTATGCTCAGCTAGGCCTCAAGGTATCTCGCGAAAGCAGTCCTTCTGGTGATTGTAGAACGCACATCGGTATTGTCTTGACCACCAAGATCAAGAAATTAAAGGACAAAGAGACGAGGCAGACGAAAGCGCACGAAGAGTGGAAAGCTACGCAACGGGGCTCGGGCCAACCATGGAGTCAATCTGTGCCTGATTTGAGTGGAACCGCTAGTATTCATCCGTCATCGCAGTGTCGTCTACGCAGCGTGGCAAGTGGTTATCCACGGACCCCTCTGTACAACACCAGCACGATGCCAGATCTTCGCGCACTGTACAACACTCATGCTATACTCGCGCCGGCACCCAATTATCATGCGCCATCAATCGTGGCTTCAGGCTATTCGATACCTCGTGCTAGCTCGACGGTCCCACCACAAAGAAAAGTCTCCACCAGGATGGCCTACAGCTCCAGTGTTGAATCACCAGGAGCCTCTGGGGAGCGCACCTCAGGCACATATACGACTGATGCTACAAGTCTGCCACAATCGCCAAAGTCCGTCGTTAGCGGACCGGGGAAGCAACCGCTCGAGGCACCTCGACCAGCCAAAGACGGTAGTTCCTTCCCCAGGCAAGAGGAGTTTGGCAGAGATCCCAGTATCACTTCCAAGTTGGCTCCATCACATAATTCCATTAGATCTTCAACAAGCTTTCATACGGCGCTGACAAGCCAAAAAGTGGCGCCAGTCGAAGCTGACATGAATGGCGTTTTGGCATCGCAAAGTACGGCCCATTCAACGTGTGAGCCCTCAAGATCGGTTTCAAGCTACGCTACCTCCGGATATCCCGTGTCAGCACAATATTCTCGATATCCTCCTGATAGTGGCTACCCTCAATTGCCGGTCCGCTACCGTCAAGGCACCCTCCGAACCGCCGGGGAATTACCTCACCATAACTCTGTAAACTCCCCTCATTCTAGTATTTCCACTCTAAGAGATAGATCACCTTCAATCGCGTCATCGATTAGACCAGTAAGCCCTCATATCGTCCATGCGACGCCACCAGGCTTGCTCTGCGGACAGATTCCAGGACTACAACCGAGTCCTATCCCACCACGAACGCCCTCTCGTCTATCCCAGACGCAAACTATCAGGCAGACACCCATCATTGTGGAATCCTTCACCGGGCCCTTCCGCTCTGCAAGTACTGCCGCACTTGACAACCACGCTCTTACTCAAGGCGATAACATTATCTCTTATACTAGGAAGATGCAAAGTCTGGGTATCTATTCCACGCAGCATAAAGAGCCGGTGCATGTGCCACAGGAGCGTGGAGAAGAGCCGGCACCGATCGAGCCGAGCACGAGGATCATAGATCCGGACACGGGACTACCTCGTATGACGTGCTACGAGGCTATTGTGGAGAAGCAAAAGCTGGATACTCAGAAGTCACAAAGGCAATGATATATGATCTTTGAAGGAGGGCGTTTCCAGGTTTTCGCAGCAAGGGATGCTTTGGATGTGCAGCGTTTCCAATCATGTCATTTTGTTGTACACTTCTTCGCTTGTCACCATGCTCAGATATGGATCTGCAATACCCTCGCGTTGCTGTTTCTGTTTACCTTTACGTCAAAGTCCATCTGACGTTCGCTTATACCCCTGTGCAACCTCTTCAACAGTGTTCAATTGCGAGAACACCGCACGTCGTCACAAGACCTTTCGTCGTTAGTATAACTCACCATTATCTACTGTGTTCGATAAATTGTTGCCTCAACCCAAGGTTCCAATCTGTTCTCAACATTCTGGTCCACTAGCGCTTTCAATCAAATCACAGCCGCGCGCAACCACGGAACACGACTAACTAACGTAAGCACGTACCCCTCATCAGAACCAAACTTCGAACGTCGGTTTTTTGTTGTCGCACACGTTGCGCTAGATGAAGCTTGTTCTGACACTGTGGTTGGGCGCTCCATGGGTGGTGATACGATTCGCGTTTTGTGTGACCCATGGATTCACAGCTGTGATCGATGGATTTTGTTGGTTGCCCAAATGGGTGGGGACAAAGTGTGACCAGTGAAGGATGATATGAAGACAAGATGTCATGTTCATGTGGTGTTAAAGAGCAGATGCGGTGAGTTGTGGGTGAGAAATGTTGTGATGTGCCATTGTTTGACTACCTTAAGTATCTACTCAAATTTGAAGCAGACTTGAGGCAACTAAAATGACGGACTTCTTGCCAGCATCTTTACTCGGCTCAGGAACTACAGACCGATCGCCCTCCCAGACAGCTTCTGGGGTGGAGACGGTGACGGAAGGCAGAAATGGTGAACGAAATCAGTGCTTGATTGAGGACACAGGGACCAGAGACTATATACTGAGGCCATGGAAGAAGCTAAGACGCTAAGAGGAGCACAAACGGGAAACATGTGTGAAAGGAAGGTTGATTGCCCCAGGCCGACACAGGGTCGGTCCAAAGGTTCTCGATTCCGATGGTGACCGGGGAATGAGAAGGTCCGCTCCTGATGTTGTCCGCAGTACCGGGAGGAACTTGTAGGATGATCTGCGTATCAAATATCAGCTCGCGGTCTGCTAGTATTGAATAAAGACTTACGTAAGTGGAAGCATTCTCAATTTTCGGATTCGTGCCAAAGGAGAAACTTGCGGACGGTCGGTGACCAGTCGAGGAAGAGGAGATGTCTTGCATCACTTTTAGTACATGTCTCGACGCTCAAGTAGATCAGAAGTAACTCACCACCTCAGGCATCAGTGTACCTGGGTCGCGTCCAGTACTGCCTAACAACGGCCGCGGGAACCAACAAATCATCCTTGCCTTCTACGTCCTCCAGCCAGTCGATGATCTTGTCTGGCAGCCTGAATCCATACTCCCGATTCTTCAGCTCCGAGCCCACCTTCAGGACTTGCTGGCCGTTCTGCGCGCGCTGGAACTGGTTCGCGCCGATCATCCTCACGGTCCAGTCGCGGGTGATAAGCAACGAGCCGTTGGCTTGCTCGACACCAGGCGGGATGTTGGTGTGGAGAAAGAATGGGCGAAGGAGGGTCTCAACTCTTGCCGAGTTGATCGTGAACTGTTGGGCGGTCTCATAGGGCGATCGCGAGGCACCGAAGCCGTCGCCGGGGGTGTCGGAGTCCTCGAAAGTGCTTCCGGAGACGCGAATACGAGCGGCGGCCGGGTCTGAGTGTTCAATAAGCTTTGCACGTCGAGAAGAAATATTGGCAGTACCTTGGAGTCTCACACGAGAGAAGCCGTCACTGCTGGCTGCTCCCTGCGCGAATGGGTTCTCCTCGGGAGCAGGAGTGCCGTTCGGAGATGTGTGCGTCGAGGACATGATCTTTGATTGACGGAAAATGTAGAGGGAGGTTGAGGAACTGTGTATATATTGAACGAGGAGAGGGGCAGCTGCGGGGGCGTCGAGCTTATATAACCCAGTTTTCACGGAAGGCAGAAAAGGTGGACGAGTTCAGTGGTGATTGAGGGCACAAAGGGCAGAGACTCTATATACTAAAGCTAGGGCAGAGCTAAGGAGCTAGGGAGGAGTACTAGGCTCAAACGGGAAACCTGTGTGAAGGAAGAATGATTGCCCCAGGCCAACAAGTGTGCGCACAAACAATTCTGGATTCCCTCGGTCACGTAGAAGGACACGTGGACGGAGGGTTGTCGTGTCAATGTGAAGGAAGCTTTGGAGCTGAAGGGGACCTTGTCGCGTGAACGCGAAGTGTGACATAGGGTGAGTTCGAGATGACATCTAAGTCAACAAAGCAAAATCGCATACGAGCACTGTAAAGACGGCGAGAGTCACCATGATTCCCCTCGTCTGAAATGAAGGTTTCCTGCTCTAATTGGCTCTACAGTTGAGTGACTTGTAGACTTCTTATCCCGACCAAGGGAAGCTTGCACTTGTCGGAAATGGTTGGCGCGGAGGTCTTGGCTGTAGGGACCTGCCTCCAATTCAAGCATTCCAGGGCATCTTTCTGACCCTGTGTGCTCACCCAAAGTCGTATTCTTGATCTTGCCAATCAGTCCACCTACTTTCCTCCCTTGACGACCTCGACGCTCGCATCCTGGAGAACCTTCAACATTATCCTGACGGCTATATATCGGTTCTCACCGCGGCAAGCGCTGCCTGGGCAGTACGAGCTCTTCCACTTGCCAAAGCTGGGACGTCTTCCTTGGTACCTTCTGTGCCACAGCACAGGAGTATTCCAAATGCCGTTTCCAGACCTTACCCCTGTGTGTCACAACTAAAGACGTCTCAATAGTGGCATTGCCATTGCGCTCCTGCAAACCCTGAAGCTCGGCTTCAGCTGGGCACAAATGATGTTTTGTGCCGCTTGCTGAGTAGGTGCTTGTGCAAGGCACAAAACTGCGGCGAAACGGCCGGGACGGAGTTAAGGATGAGTGTCGCAATGGGTGCTGATGGAAGACGGGACGGAGGAGCCACCAAGAAGATGAGATGGGCACCGTACGGCGAGTCTGTGTATGCGGAATGCCCACGGGGAGAAAGGCGCGGGGTGTCAAGAAAGATCTGCTCAGCCCAGTATGCGACGGGCGTCTTCTAACGGCAAGCAGACGATGAAGGCGGGAATGGCGGAGCCGGTGGCCTCGATGGCCTCGATGGCCTCGACGAGGAAGGAATCGAGGTGTGCCGCGGCGACAAAGTCGGGGGAGTGGTGCGGGCAGATGGAAATTGATGTGAGAAAACGCGTGTGCGCGTATTCAGAAGTGCTCGAAGGAGGCTCGAGATATGATGGCGTAGAGCATCTATGAAGAAGGAAGCTGGGGCCTTCTCAATTTTTGTGACAACCGGTTCAATGTTGATCTTTGGGTACAGTAGGTTGACACTTTGATGAGGCATACGGTGATAGTGAAGAGAGATTGTTGGTCGCCGAGTGCGAAGCCACGTTACCATCCCGGTCTTTTCTGAAGACACTCTCACTAACCACCACTCCCCTCAATCCATAACCAACTTCTTCGCAAACGTTTTGCAACTTGCTCCTTCTCCAAATCCAATATCTTCGAGAACTCCGTCAAGATGAAGCTCACTCTCCTCCTTCTTGCACTTGTTGCACTCCTTGTGTCTGCCGTCCCACAAGCCGACCGCGCCGTAAGTCCCTTCTCTTTCCTTCCGTCAAGAACTGTACCTGATACTATGGCCAGCACCGCAACATCGTTCCGTCTTCGAGCTGCAACAATTCCCCTCGTGATTGCGACCCGAAGATTTCCAGCCAAGGCAACGCCGATCACGACTCGTTCACCACCGGCGACACGGATACGCAGGCGGAGAAGGACCCTTACAGAACGGCGAAGGTGCTTGGTGGACTATACGCGATGGCTATCTTTGTCCTGCTTTTGCTATAGGAAGATGTATACCTAGGCTCGCAATGTAGGTGCATATGTCCCTCTTCCACCATAGGAATACTCGCTCTGACGTGTTGGATCAAGCATTGCAGCAGATCCCGGGGGAACACACTGCTCTCTACGACGGCTTGGGTTGTTGACGTTCGGCTTGCTTGTCATCCCTCGTGCTCTACAATGAAAAAAAATCAGTACAACATCGCTTGACCGGCTCTTTCATAACAAGTATGCCCACTAGTAAAGTCACCGTTGAAGAAACCATCCTAGGATGATGTAGAGCAATCGCTGCCGTTACTCATTTTCTGTGTGTACATTAACAGACGTCTATGACGACGCGGAACAGCAAAGATGCTCTCTAAGCGAGCACTGCCATCCTCTACGCTCGCGCCGTCCTCACGGCACGTCGTCCTCGGCATCTAGGCATCCTGGGCGCCGTGTTTTATCGGGTACTCGGCGCAAGGCTACTGAAATTCAGCCACACTCAATACGAGCGAGCGTGAACTCCAGTATGAGATATGACAAGTCTGTTCAAGTGTTCGTGATGGACGTGAGGCGAGGGAGCAGACGTTGATTTAGACCTCTCACATCAACCGCCGTTGGCGGGAATGATGTGCAGCGCGCGCGCGAGTCTGCAACGCCACCAGTGGAGCCGAGTTGCTTGGACGGCATCCAAGCGCAAGGTTGTGGCGCCCGCTATGCTGAATGGCCGCAAACCCCTGCTTGCCCCCACCGTCATCGACCTGTCGGACCAATTTGTCCCCGATCCACATCGAAGACGACGACACGAGTTCCTTATGCGGTATACGATGGAGTCTCGGCGGTGCTAATTGTTGTTCGCCTTCTGTTCTTTGCCTCTGTTCGCGCATTCTTTTCAATTTTCTAGTCACTGCGTCGTCACCCTAATTCTCTTCTTGCAACATGCGACTGCTGTTCCCGCGTTGACCTGATGCGCCGTTAACATTCGATTGTACATATCGGTCGGTACTTACGAAAGTCCGTCTTCAAAGACGACATCTCGACGCCCACCGGGGCATACTGTGCCGCAATGGCCATCTTCTCGCAGACATGGACCCTCACGAAGAAGACGCTCATGGTCGTCTTCGTCCGGCACTGGTTCTTCACGAGCATTCGTGCGTTTTGGGCACCTATCATATTTGTACGCGCTCCTCCGCGCTCTGCACTATCCAGCTAACATCAATGGCAGATGTTCTTCATAACATACGCAAAGAACTTCTTCGTCCCTCCATCTGAGTTCGGTATCGGTTCTCCGACCCCCATTCGAAGCTTCGAAAGCGCTCTCGCTGCCGCCACTGGCAATCGGAACACCGTCGTCTTCGTAAACAATGGGCATACTGGAGGAGACATCGAGAGGGTCATTGAGAGCTTGTCGGATACAGTCAGAGGCGCTGGGAAAACTGCGATTACGGCGGGACAAGATGTGGATCTTCTGACCTTATGCGCGAGCTCATTGCGAGGCGCAAGTACGTGTTACGGCGCGATCAGCTTCCACTCGTCGCCCTCGGAAGGAGATGGTCTGGGCTGGAACTATACCATGCGTGCCGACGGCACATTTGGAGTGAGGATCTATGTCAATGAGGAAAACAACGACATCCAAGTCTATGTCCTGCCGTTTCAGAACGCTGTAGACCGAGCCATTGCCTCTATGAACGGCACCACGTTGCCCAATGCGATCGACGAGTACCCTTTCACGAGCAAGACACAAGAGGAGCGTGAGGAGAGCATACGGACATCATACATGGGCGCTTTGATAGACATCATGGCCGTAGCATTGTACATTGGCGTGTGCGGTGTCACGTACCAGCTCACTGGGCAAATGGCGTCTGAAAGAGAGGGTGGCATCTCGCAGCTTGTAGAAGCAATGTCTCCTGCGAAGAAGCCGTGGCATACCCAGGCTGCACGCCTCTTATCGAACCATATCGCGTTCGACATCATCTATCTCCCTGGTTGGATCATCATGGGCATAATCGTGAGGCAACTTGCTTTCGTGCACACAAACGTAGGCATCTTGATCATATACCACATTCTTGTAGGCGGTGCCCTGACCAGCTTTTCCATCTTCGGCGCAAGCTTCTTCAAGAAGGCACAACTGTCCGGCATCACTATGGTCATCCTGCCCATCATACTGGCCATCATTGCGCAGGTCGCTGGACCGTATAGTACAGGCGCTGTAGCCGTGCTGAGTTTGTTGTTCCCAAGCATGAACTACGTATGGTTTATCACATGCATCGCTCGCTGGGAGCGCACTCTGCAGCCCACGAATCTGGTTAAGGCCCCGCCGGTCTACGATGACATTAACTGGACTCTGCCTGGCATTGCCTTCTGGATCTTCTGCATCATCCAAATCTTTGCATACCCCGTTTTAGGCGCAGTCGTAGAACGATGGCTTTATGGCACCGTCTCAAAGGAGCGGAAGACGACAACTTCCTCGCCTGAGCATTCTATCATTCTCTCCTCGTTCTCGAAGCACTGGACACCGAGCTGGTTAAGCACCAACGTGCTCGCCAAGATCGGCATCAAGCCACCCGAGACGGTACTTGCCGTGAACGACTTCAGCATCAAAGCCCGTCGCGGCCAAATCATGGTCCTCCTAGGAGCTAACGGCAGCGGCAAATCTACGACACTGGATGCCATCTCAGGCTTGAACACCATCACGAGCGGTTCCATTGAAATTGACGGCACTGGGGGTCTCGGCCTCTGCCCACAGAAGAACGTCATGTGGGACGAGCTAACCGTCTTCGAGCACGTGCAAATATTCAACAGACTGAAATCGGCAGGCACCACGGATAATGAGGACACGATCAGGGACCTTATCAGGGCGTGTGACCTTGGTCACAAGATGAAGGCGCAGTCCAAGACCCTGTCCGGCGGGCAGAAGAGGAAGCTCCAGCTTGCCATGATGTTCACAGGAGGCAGTAGGGTCTGTTGTGTTGACGAAGTGTCATCGGGCTTGGACCCTCTTTCCCGACGCAAGATTTGGGAGATACTTCTCGCTGAGCGAGGCGACCGAACCTTTCTCCTCACCACACACTTCCTGGACGAGGTCAGTATCCCACCACCCCAACCCTTCTTCCCATCAGCTTCATCTCTATCCATCGCATGATCTTCACTGACACTGCCTACCTCTGCTAGGCTGACGTTCTCGCCGACTACATTGCCATCCTCTCTCGTGGCAACCTCAAGACCAAGGGCACTTCTGTCCAACTCAAGCACAACATTGGAGCAGGTTACCACGTCACGTACCCCAAGGATGTCTCCGTCACTCCTCTTGATGGCATTCGCAAGCCCGCACCATCTGAAGCCATGGCCACATACTGGTTCCCCAACGCCCTCGGTGCCACCAAGTTTGTCGACGAGCTCCGCTCCCACGGCGTCAAGAACTATGATATCGTTGGCCCAACCCTTGAAGACGTCTTCTTGGCTCTCGCGGAAGAAGTCAAGGAACACAACCTCGACACGGAAGATACCAACACTCCCATCACCTCGTCGCCCAAGAATGCAGATGTCATTATGCCTTCCTCTGACCAGAACTCCGAAGAGGCAGACAAGAGCCTACAGATGTCCAAAGGCAAAGGTACGACCATGCCGCAGCAGACGCTTATTCTCATCCGCAAACGCTTCACTATCCTTCGTCGGAACTACTGGCCATACGTATGTGCTGTGCTACTGCCTATCATTGCTGCCGGCCTTGTCACGCTCTTCCTCAAGAACTACAGAGCAGTGGGATGCAGTCCTGGCGAGTCCGCCAGCAACCCTAACACCTACTCTATCGCCAATGTAGACACTGACAGATCCCTTCTCATCCCCGTTGGTCCACCGGATCGTGTCGACATCCGCACGCTCGCCGCAGTTTCTGGGCTTGATCAGTCCAACTTCCAATCCGTCGACACCCTCGACGACTTCAACAGGTTCATCGAGACCAGGTTCCATAATGTCACTCCTGGTGGCTTCTTCATCCAAGACAGTGGGCCTCCTGTCATGTCCTATGTCGGCAACGGCGGCGTCCTTCCAGGTCTTGTCACTCTCAGCGCTCTCGACACCGTTCTCTCAGACATACCCATCTCAACTCAATATCAACAGTTCGCCGTGCCTTTCGCCCCCGGAATGGGTAAGACACTGCAGCTTATCCTTTACTTCGGCCTTGCTATGAGTGTATACCCTGCTTTCTTCGCTTTATACCCTACCATCGAGCGATTGCGCAAGGTTCGAGCATTGCATTACAGTAATGGCATCCGGGCGGCACCGTTGTGGTTGGCGTATTTGACCTTCGACTTTTGTTTCGTGCTTGTCATATCCGCCGTTGTCACAGGCATATTCGTTGGCGTAAGTAATATCAGTCTTCGCCACCGTACACACACTGACTTGCATATCTAGGCTTCGTCTGTGTGGTACTCACCAGGCTACTTGTTTGTCATCTTCTTCCTCTACGGCTTAACTTCGACTCTGTTCTGCTACCTCATCTCGATCGTCGTAACTTCGCAACTGGCTACCTTTGCCTTCGCCGCCGGTGCCCAAGCATCGTGTTTCCTGTTGTACTTTATCGGTTACATGTGCATCTTGACATATTCTCCTGCATACCGCATTGACAGCGATATCGAGATCTTCCATTTCGCTTTCGCTACTGTCACTCCTTCTGGAAACGTTCTTCGAACGATGCTCCTGTCCTTGAATTCTTTCTCCTTACTCTGCCGTGGGGACGAGATAGCGAGTTACCCTGGAGCAGTCACCGTGTACGGAGGTCCGATCCTTTATCTTTCTATCCAAGCTATCGTGCTCTTCATTGCCCTCGTGTGGTGGGATTCCGGCTACCGTCCACCGATCCTGAACCGAGCGAAGTCTCGACAGAGGGCGACGGAAGAGTCTATCGAGCACGTGGTCCCAGCCGTAGCAGCTGAAGTAGCTCGCGCCGAGCAGAGCAACGACAGTCTCCGCGTCTTGCACCTACACAAAGATTTCGGACACAACCACGCAGTCAACGACATCACCTTCGGTATCCCACAAGGGCAAGTCTTCTCTCTCCTGGGACCAAACGGAGCCGGGAAATCGACCACCATCTCGCTCATCCGCGGTGATGAACATCCGACAACTAGCATTAATGGCGGCGGCGATGTCCTCATCGAAGACATATCCATCATCTCGAAACGAGCAGCAGCACGAGGCCACCTTGGTGTATGTCCTCAATTCGACGCCATGGATTCTATGACCGTTACAGAGCATTTGTACTTCTATGCTCGCGCAAGAGGCGTTCAAGATCCAGAGCATTCCGTGAACGCCATACTGACGGCGACCGGTCTGGCTCGTTTCCAAACCCGTCTTGCCTCGAAGCTATCGGGCGGCAACAAGAGGAAGCTCTCCTTGGGCATCGCGCTCATGGGCAATCCGTCGGTCCTACTCCTCGACGAACCAAGCAGCGGTATGGACGCGGCAGCTAAACGAGTCATGTGGCGCACGCTTCTCGGGGTCGCTGCTCCTGGTCGCGCTCTTCTGATCACCACACATTCCATGGAGGAAGCAGACAAGCTCGCTACACGAGTCGGCATCATGAAGAGGAAGATGCTTGCACTCGGCACAGTGTCTGAACTGGGTGACCAGTATGGCGACGCTTTCGTTGTGCAATTGGTACTTCGGTCTGCGCCAGCCACGACGATAGAAGAGATGGATGCTGTGAGGCAATGGGTCAGCAGTCGCATCCCTGGTGTTCAGATGGACAAGTGGGGCTCGAGAGACGGTGGTCATGGTCAGCTACGGTTCAAGGTGCTCAAGGCTGGTTCGTCTTCGTCGACTCCTCCACAGACTGTGGAGAAAGTCGAAAAACCCTCGACAAATGTGCAAGAAGTGGAGCGCACGACTTCGCAGGATGTCGGCGGAATTCCAGGGCTCATTCAGCTTTTGGAGAACAACAGGGAGGAGATTGGTCTGGAGTACTATTCCGTCAGTCCGACTACGCTCGACGAAGTTTTCCTTCGGGTCGTTGGCGAGGAGGACGAGGACGACAAGTCGAAGCCGAAGGGCAACTGGAGCAAGCGGCTTCTGAGGGCAGTTGGCATTTCTGTTATACCATAGATGGTTGGGTCGAGCAGCCTCGACGTCCGACTCAGTACATACAACAAATACCCACGCATCTTCTGCAAGCATTCAGCAATCCCGACCAGTCTCTCAGCGGCTTAATCCGGCTACCATCGTACAGGGCGCCACATGTTGAGTCGCCTCGGGACGTTTCTCGTTGATTTTCGATCAGGGATGGCCGTCTGTTCTATTTTACGACTTCAGTATCATCAACTGTGAAGCGGCTTAGAAAGCAGTGCTTCCGCACACACATCTACTTTGGGTTCTTCACTCGCAGAAGAAGTGGATTTTCGAGGTGACGGGCCCCCTCTTGCTACCGTACAATGTTTCCGAAAAGAGGGGGCCCGTCAACACGAGCAGTGCCGGGACGAACCGATACAAATTGGTTGTCTTCTTGGCAGACATTGTTGTGAGTCTCACACCACATTCTCTTACCTTCACGATTAATGTGCCAGCAGATTTCCCATTCTTCCGCCATTCTTTTATTTCTCCTCCACTGCTGCTAATTCCTATTCCTACCGACAGTTGTACATTGTCCATGCCTCTCACCGGACGCAACTTGATCTGACAGATACAGGGATTATTCTTACACTCGCTCCTCCACGCTGCCAATTCCTATTCCTACCGGCATTCGTACGTTCTCTCTGGCCTCTTACCTAACGTTTGATCTGACAGATACAGGGATTATTCTTACATTGGTTCCTCCACTGCTGCCAATTCCTATTCCTACCGGCATTCGTATGTCCTCTCTGGCCTCTTACCTGACGGTTGATCTGACAGACGCAGTTTTCACTCATTCATTCTCTACTCCACGCTGCGAATTTCTATCACTACTCCTCGCTGCTGATCCCTACTTCAACCAACATTTGTATGTCTACTCTCATCTTTGCGCTGATGCAGTTCGATCTAATAAACACAGTTCTCATTCTTTCATTCTTTTCAGTCCTACCCGCCGGACAACTCATTCTTCAACATGTGCGTCTTGCCCTCGCACTTCGACGCCCTTTGGTCTGACAGACTTGCAGTCTTCCGTATTTCTTTCCTCGGTCCTGCCCGCCGGACAAATCATCTCTATCAGCATTCGTACGTCTTGCTCTTCTCTCTTTTAGCATGCGTCCTGGACTGACAGGTGTTCAGATTTAAATCTGTCATTACTGGCCCGCCAGATAACTCCATTTTTCAACGTTCGTGGGTATTTTTGCCTGGCATGTGGCGCAATCTGATCTAACAGGCTCCCAGTTATCGACTGTATATCCTACCCCACGCTGCAGCTCAATTCATTTCTACTCGCATTCCTAGATGCTATTTCTCTATTCGTACGTACCAATGTCGTCATCCTTCGACGGGTTCGAGCTAACGGTATTCTAGTTCGCCATTCTTTCATTTCTATCGGCTGCGAGTCCGGCACTGGTGGCTTGCGAAGCAACACCACATTGTACGCGTGTTCATCGAGATCCCATCGGAAAATCGCTAACTGGCACTCAGCTTACTCCCCTCTTTTACTGCACCGTACAATTGCGGTCCCCGGCTGCCTGTCGCCATACAAAGCTAGATACAGAAAATCCTACCAGACGGCAGCCGGGGAGGCTCGAACAGGGACGCCATCGCTGTGAGCTTTACCTCTTATGTGTTTGATCGAGCATGTCTTGCTGACTCGGTTGCTAATCCAGATGAGACATCACTATCATTGTTACCGAAACGACTCGTTCGAGGATGGGAATTTTCACAATCATTCCTACGTCGGTTTGCGTCTCGCCGTGTGAGTTTCTCACCATGTTTCCCCCACCTTATCATGACCTCGCTGACTTGGCCCAGTGCTTGTTGTATTTCTACTGCTATTCCTACCGCCACACCATTCGTGCGGTTTTGACCGCAAACCTATGTATGCACATCCCCCATTCGTAACCGGGACCTTGCTAACTTTGAAGCAGGTTCTTATCACCATTCTTAACAACATATACTATCCGGCGCCCAGGGTTTGCCTAACACATTGTGACACTGTGGCTCGGCCGCGTAGGTTCTCCAATGGTCGTTTCATTTTGAACGTACGCTAACTCCGCCACAGATCCCCATTCAGTGTGATTATCGCCATAAACCTCTTCGTCCAGGCGGCCCCGCGTGGGCATGGGAATAGATCGGTGTGATGAGTCTATGGTCATGCATTGGTAGGGGAGTGACAATGAGGTGACAGGGGTACCGGATTCGAATATGAACCTTCAACTTCGGTCGTGTTGCGGGGGTGGGGGAGTGTGTGGATAAACTCATGATGTCAGGGTATTCTTTAGCATGTTGCTGATCAGCACGAATACGACATACTTCTACTTAATTGAAGCGAACCAAGTAAATGTCGGTTTCATATCGTGCATCGGCCTGCTGGCTACAATTACGTGGCTCAGAACGCGATCACGGAGCCGATGCATTACTCCGCGCTATCTTCTATTCACCTCGTCTTGCGTAAATGTTACGTACCCTTATTAAAATCTTAGCGAAAGCTCAACAGGTATCGAGCAGCCAAAATGAAGTGCTCTCGCAGTTGCTTGATCCCCCTTCACCGGGTGCAAAGACTTGGCGCTCCTTCCCAGTCTAACGCCACAATCTCACCTTCCCACCTTCCCGCTTCTCTACTGCAACTTTCTCCCATTTCTTCGCCGCAACAGCCAGTTTTTTTAAGGCCTTCGCCCTGGGCGCCGCAACCTTCTCATTACATCGTTTGCAATCTTCGGGGCAATCCTTTGGGCAGAAGGAGATCAACAAGAACTACGTCAACCCAAAGGATTGCCCCAACCGAGGAGGCGCTTGCGGGCCTCCCGAAAGACTTCTACAAGTTGGACCTGAAGGTGAAATTGAGGCTCCTTCTCGAAGTGCGTGCCAACGAGCCGGTGACGGGGATCTTGGCAGTCTGTCACGAACATCTACCGCCCAAACATCGATGGTGAGCCCTATTCCCCCAATAGGTCCTCTTATCCGCCAACTCACATGTACAGTTGAAGAAGAACCAAGAGAAGGGCAACGACGCAAAGCGAGACCTGCTCGGCGCAGGCGCCGCGGGTCGTCGCAAATCCCACGACTCTTACGCTTCGGTAGAGCGTGAGAACAAATGAGCTTCTTGCTCACATGAAGATCGACCGCCCTATCATGGGACAGATCTACCTCGGCATGCTAAAGAGTACTTGCTCACAACACCTTACGCGGGTCGTCTGTTTCTAACACGCCCAGAAACCCGGTGGTCCACCGGAACATCAAGAACGAGAACGTCAGTCTAGACGGAGGTGGCAACATGAAGGTGGTGAGGTTCGGTAGCGGAGGGGTTGATGTGTATGTCTCCACGAAGCACATAGTAATAGGCACATGCTGACCTGTGTTGCGTTGCAGTCCGTGAGAAGCCAGGCGGCGATGGCCTCTTCTTTCAAAAACCACGGCAAGAATGACCACCACCTCGAATACGCTTTCATCAATTCTATCGACATGGCCGATATGATCGCCATGCTTGACAAGGATGGTGAAGGATGCGTTGCAACGCCAGCTCACAGACGCCACCACCAGCAATCTGACAGCCAAGCGCAATCATCGGCGTACAACGAACTACATCGTCGAATGCAAGAGGCTTTCGCCGCCGTCGAACACCGTAACTGGCCAGATGTACAATCTTCCAAGAATGCGGAACTGTTATAAGCGACCATCCAAGGCCGCGAGGCACTGTTGCAGACACTACGCAGCTCGGTCTGATTGGGAGCGTTTCACAATCAAAGCAGTTTGCAGTAGGGAGTGCTCCTCCCATCCAATAACTCGCAGCAAGAGGCACGCGGACAGACGAAGGGCAAAATTCCAAACAAGTGGTCACCAAGCAAGTCACCAATGGGTCATCGCGCCGCCGACATCTCAAAGAATACAACCAAGAATGAAGGCCCTCCCCGCAGCATGCGGAGCATGCCACAGGATGCCGGGGGGGTTCCTCCTCAATCAGCACACCGTCCGGAAATCTGTACGATCCCAATCTTACAGGGTTGTCCAGGGCGAAATCGGCCATCCTGCTGCACCATTGCGGTCAGCTCTCCGCTACCGTCCTTCGAAACCAAGCCTGCTGCCAGGCACAACTTCAACCGTCGGCCGGGGCCAACTACACGACCACGACGAGGTTGACTCATCCAACAGGTCGCAGCACGGTGTCCCTCTGCTTTTGAAACACCGACAACAAGATGTCTGCGGATAGACGAAATTGCGAGATAGCCGCCGGAGGCTGGGACATGGAAAATGGCACACTGGGTACAAGGTCACAAGATGAAGCTTTAATTTGGGTACTGGGTCACGACATGAAGCTTGACTTGGGTACTGGGTGTGGCAGGAGCGTCGGAGGCATGGACATGGCCTAGCGTACATGCTCACCGAGCACCTTACCTCATACTGTACAGAATAGATACCTTCATCCTACAGAGCTCCAATCCTATGACACTGTGTCAACTAGAGGAAGCTTCACTATTGCGCTGATCCGCGAAGGCATTCATTACTGGTAATTACCGCCTAGTATAGAGCGTCCAATCTGTAAAGCAGGTGTAGTAGTTACTATAATTGGTATAGTTCTACTATACAAGACCAAAAGGGTATGCGATTTTTCATTGTGTTTAGTTAGCATCGCACTCTATCCTTAACAGATTTATCTATGAGTGGGCTACCAGCAACGATGAAAGTAGCCTTGCAACCGCAACCCTTCCTGCATTACGTCGCGTACTCGTCCTTCCTCGTCCTTATTCGTCCAAATAGTATAGGAAGCTGCAAAAGAAAACTTCAGAGGAGGATCATCAGAAGCGACACGGACTGCGGCATACGGGCATGTGGATACAGCAAGCGCCAATATGTTTGCAGACTATATAGGGCAGTGCATTATAACTCTCCTCATGACGGTAGGGCTACAGCAGGCTTGCATCAGTGTCGGTCTGTCGTTATGGTGTCAATGAACAAGAAATGGGAAGATGGTCGTCTTAATCGGCTCCTTTTTTTTC